GGAGCCCTGACGACACTGAATAAACACGTGTTTTGAAGGGCCATCCCCGCCGTAACTCGAGAACATACCACCGGTCCCCGCCGAACTCGAGAAAAACCATGAGACTTCCCCCTAGAAGCGAGATGAGGCCCCATTCCCCTGCAGTGCATGCAGAGCTATTCCGTGATCCCCATCAATCAAGTCAGGAGCTTCGACTTGCTTAACGGATCTTGAGACAGTCCCCAAGAACACTGTCACCAGTCTAGACGGACCCTGAGGTCACCCCAGCAACGCAAAGCAGCTCCGTGTGCCCCAAATCAACTCCAGATGAGGCCCGATCCCCCTGCAATGACTCCAGAGCCATCCCCCGTGACCCGTTCAACACAACCAGTGGCTTGACTTCCTTCAGGCAACTCCAGAGATGCCAAGAGAACACTGTCGAAAGTCTAGAGGAACACCAACTTCAGCAGAGCAACTCGAGGAATGCTCCGTGTACCCCAAATCGTCTCGAGATGAGAGCTGATTCCCTGACTTAGGCTCAAGACGTATGCCACCCTTCCAGAAGCACCTCAGGAGGAGGCTTCTCTCAGCAATAGGTATGTGGGAGGGACCCCGAGTGTGCTGCCTCAAGTGGAATATATAGCGAGAAGCCGTAACTTGAAAGGAGGCCGGATTTCCTTGCAGTGGCTTGAATACAGGCTCGTCTTTCATCTCACAACATGAAGGGATGTCTGAATCCCCTGTGGAGACCTTAGCGAAAGCCCTAGGTCCCTGCCTCATTTTGACGGAATGCCTCACATCCCGTTGACATCTCGAGCGGCACACGGAGTTCACTGCTTCAAAAGGTGACGATGCCTGACTCCTCTTGAATACTGATAGGAATCCCAAAATCACTGTGGTTACTGGAAAGAGTCCTTGGGTGCCCTGCCTCACCTCGAGAAGCGTCCCTTTTGCCCTGTCAAGCCTCGAAGAGATTCCTGAGGTGTCCCTCCTTACTAGACAGAGGTTTTGACGTCACTGTATAAACACGTGATTTGAAGGGCCATCCCTGCCGTAACTCGAGAACATACCCCAGGCCCCGCCGCAACTCGAGAAAAACCATGAGACTTCCCCGTATAGGCGAGATGAGGCACCATTCCTCTGCAGTGCATGCAGAGCTATTCCGTGATCCCCATCAAACAAGTCAGGAGCTTCGACTTGCTTAATGGATCTCGAGACAGTCCCCAAGAACACTGTAACCAGTCTAGACGGACAATGAGGTCACCACAGCAACACATAGCAGGGCCGTGTGCCCCAAATCAACTCGAGATGAGGGCCGATTCCCCTGCATTGAATACAGGGCCATCCCCCATTCCCCATTCAACAAGACCAGTGGCTTGACTTCCTTCAGGCAACTCCAGAGAAGCCCCGAGAACATTGTCGCAAGTCTAGAAGAACACCAACTTCAGCACAGCAACTCGAGGAATGCTCCGTGTACCCAAATCATATCGAGATGAAAGCTGATTCCCTGGCTTATTTTCAAGACATATGCCAACCTTCCAGAAGCACCTCAAGAGGAGGCTTCTCTCAGCAATAGGTATGTGGGAGGGACCCCGAGTTTGCTGCCTCAAGTGGAATATACAACGAGAAGCCCTAACTTGAAAGGAGGCCGGATTTCCTTGCAGTGGCTTGAATATAGGCTCGTCTTTCATCTCACAACATGAAGGGATGGTCTGAATCCCCTGTGGAGACCTTAGAGAAAGCCCTAGGTCCCTGCCTCATTTTGACGGAATGCCTCACATCCCGTTGACACCTCGAGAGGAAGGCGGAGTTCACTGCTTCAAAAAGTGACGATGCCTGACTCCTCTTGAATACAGATAGAAATCCCAAAATCCCTGTGGCTACTGGAAAGGGTCATTGGGTGCCCTGCCTCACATCGAGAAGCGTCTCTTTTGCCCTGCAAAGCCTCGAAGAGATTCCTGAGGTGTCCCTCGTTACTAGACAGGAGTCCTGGCGTCACTGAATAAACACGTGTTTTGAAGGGCCATCCCCGCGGTAACTCGAGAACATAACCCCGGTCCCCGCCGAACTCGAGAAAAACCATGAGACTTCCCCCTAGAGGCGAGTTGAGGCCCCATTCCCCTGCAGTGCATGCAGAGCTATTCCGTGATCCCCATCAAAGAAGTCAGGAGCTTCGACTTGCTTAATGGATCTCGAGACAGTCCCCAAGAACACTGTCACAAGTCTAGACGGACCCTCAGGTAACCCCAGCAATGCAAAGCAGCGCCGTGTGCCTGAAATCAACGCGAGATGAGGCCCAATTCCCCTGCATTGACTCCAGAGCCATCGCCCGTTCCCCATTCAACACGACCAGTGGCTTGACTTCATTCAGGTAACTCCAGAGATGCCCCGAGAACACTGTCACAAGTCCAGAGGAACACCAGCTTCAGCACAGCAACTCGAGGAATGCTCCGTGTACCCCAAATCTTCTCAAGATGAGAGCTGATTCCCTGGCTTAGGCTCAAGACGTATGCCACCCTTCCAGAAGCACCCCAAGAGGAGGCTTCTCTCAGCAATAGGTATGTGGGAGGGACCCCGAGTTTGCTGCCACAAGTGAAATATACAGCGAGAAGCCCTAACTTGAAAGGAGGCCGGATTTCCTTGCAGTGGCTTGAATACAGGCTCGTCTTTCATCTCACAACATGAAGGGATGTCTGAATCCCCTGTGTTGACCTGAGAGAAAGCCCTAGTTCCCTGCCTTTTTGACGGAATGCCTCACATCCCGTTGACACCTCGAGAGGCACGCGGAGTTCACTGCTTCAAAAGGTGATGATGCCTGACTCCTCTTGAATATGGATAGGAATCCCAAAATCCCTGTGGCTACTGGAAAGGGTCCTTTGGTGCCATGCCTCACCTCGAGAAGCGTCCCTTTTGCCCTGCCAAGCCTTAAAGAGATTCCTGAGGTGTCCCTCGTTACTAGACAGGAGTCCTGACGTCACTGAATAAAGACGTGTTTTGAAGGGCCATCCCTGCCATAACTCGAGAACATACCCCAGGTCCCCACCGCAACTCGAGAAAAACGATGAGACTTCCCCCTAGAGGCGTGATGAGGCCCCATTCCCCTGCAGTGCATGCAGAGCTATTCCGTGATCCCCATCAAACAAGTCAGGAGCTTCGACTTGCTTAACGGATCTCGAGAAAGTCCCCAAGAACACTGTCACCAGTCTAGACGGACCCTGATGTCACTCCAACAAAGCAAAGCAGCTCCATGTGCCCCAAATCAACTCGAGATGAGGCCCGATTCCCCTGCATTGACTCCAGAGCCATCCCCCGTTATCCATTCAACACGACCAGTGGCTTGACTACCTTCAGGCAACTCCAGAGATGCCCCGAGAACACTGTCCCAAGTCTAGAGGAACACCCACTTCAGCACAGCAACTCGAGGAATGCTCCGTGTACCCCAAATCGTCTCGAGATGAGAGCTGATTCTCTGGCTCAGGCTCAAGACGTATGGTATCCATCCAGAAGCACCTCAAGAAGAGGCTTCTCTCAGCAATAGGTATGTGGGAGGGACCCCGAGTTTGCTGCCTCAAGTGGAATAAATAGCGAGAAGCCCTAACTTGAAAGGAGGCCGGATTTCCTTGCAGTGGCTTGAATACAGGCTCGTCTTTCATCTCACAACATGAAGGGATGTCTGAATCCCCTGTGGAGACCTTAGCGAAAGCCATAGGTCCCTGCCTCATTTTGACGGAATGCCTCACATCCCGTTGACACCTCGAGAGGCACGCGGAGTTCACTGCTTCAAAAGGTGACGATGCCTGACTCCTCTTGAATACTGATAGGAATCCCAAAATCACAGTGGCTACTGGAAAGAGTACTTGGGTGCCCTGCCTCACCTGGAGAAGCGTCCCTTTTGCCCTGACAAGCCTCGAAGAGATTCCTGAGGTGTCCCTCCTTACTAGACAGAGGTTTTGACGTCACTGAATAAACACGTGATTTGAAGGGCCATCCCTGCCGTAACTCGAGAACATACCCCAGGCCCCGCCGCAACTCGAGAAAAACCATGAGACTTCCCCCTAGAGGCGAGATGAGGCACCATTCCCCTGCAGTGCATGCAGAGCTATTCCGTGATCCCCATCAAACAAGTCAGGAGCTTCGACTTGCTTAATGGATCTCGAGACAGTCCCCAAGAACACTGTAACCAGTCTAGACGGAAACTGAGGTCACCAAGGCAACACAGAGCAGGGCCATGTGCCCCAAATCAACTCGAGATGAGGCCCGATTCCCCTGCATTGACTCCAGAGCCATCCTCCATTCCCCATTCAACAAGACAAGTGGCTTGACTTCCTTCAGGCAACTCCAGAAATGCCCCGAGAACACTGTCGCAAGTCTAGAGGAACACCAACTTCAGCACAGCAACTCGAGGAATGCACCGTGTACCCAAATCATATCGAGATGAAAGCTGATTCCCTGGCTTATATTCAAGACATATGCCAACCTTCCAGAAGCACCTCAAGAGGAGGCTTCTCTCAGCAATAGGTATGTGGGAGGGACCCCGAGTGTGCTGCCTCAATTGGAATATATAGCGAGAAGCCCTAACTTGAAAGGAGGCCAGATTTCCTTGCAGTGGCTTGAATACAGGCTCGTCTTTCATCTCACAACATGAAGGGATGTCTGAATCCCCTGTGGAGAACTTAGCGAAAGCCCTAGATCCCTGCCTCATTTTGACGGAAAGCCTCACATCCCGTTGACACCTCGAGAGGCATGCGGAGTTCACTGCTTCAAAAGGTGACGATGCCTGACTACTCTTGAATACTGATAGGAATCCCAAAATCACTGTGGCTACTGGAAAGGGTCTTTGGTGCCCTGCCTCAGCTCGAGAAGCTTCCGTTTTGCCCTGCCAAGCCTCGAAGAGATTCCTGAGGTGTCCCTCGTTACTAGACAGGAGTCCTGACGTCACTGAATAAACACGTGTTTTGAAGGGCCATCCCCGCCGTAACTCGAGAACATACCGCAGGTCCCGGCCGAACTCGAGAAAAACCATGAGATTTCCCCTAGAGGTGAGATGAGGCCACTTTCCCCTGCAGTGCATGCAGAGATATTCCGTAATCCCCATCAAACAAGTCAGGAGCTTCGACTTGCTTAATGGATCTCGAGACAGTCTCCAAGAACACTGTCACCAGACTAGACGGACCCTGAGGTCACCACAGCAAGGCATAGCAGGGCCGTGTGCCCCAAATCAACTCGAGATGAGGGCCGATTCCCCTGCATTGAATACAGGGCCATCCCCCATTCCCCATTCAACAAGACCAGTGGCTTTACTTCCTTCAGGCAACTCCAGAGAAGCCCCGAGAACATTGTCGCAAGTCTAGAAGAACACCAACTTCAGCACAGCAACTCGAGGAATGCTCCGTGTACCCAAATCATATCGAGATGAAAGCTGATTCCCTGGCTTATTTTCAAGACATATGCCAACCTTCCAGAAGCACCTCAAGAGGAGGCTTCTCTCAGCAATAGGTATGTGGGAGGGACCCCGAGTTTGCTGCCTCAAGTGGAATATACAACGAGAAGCCCTAACTTGAAAGGAGGCCGGATTTCCTTGCAGTGGCTTGAATATAGGCTCGTCTTTCATCTCACAACATGAAGGGATGGTCTGAATCCCCTGTGGAGACCTTAGAGAAAGCCCTAGGTCCCTGCCTCATTTTGACGGAATGCCTCACATCCCGTTGACACCTCGAGAGGAAGGCGGAGTTCACTGCTTCAAAAAGTGACGATGCCTGACTCCTCTTGAATACAGATAGAAATCCCAAAATCCCTGTGGCTACGGGAAAGGGTCATTGGGTGCCCTGCCTCACATCGAGAAGCGTCTCTTTTGCCCTGAAAAGCCTCGAAGAGATTCCTGAGGTGTCCCTCGTTACTAGACAGGAGTCCTGGCGTCACTGAATAAACACGTGTTTTGAAGGGCCATCCCCGCGGTAACTCGAGAACATAACCCCGGTCCCCGCCGAACTCGAGAAAAACCATGAGACTTCCCCCTAGAGGCGAGTTGAGGCCCCATTCCCCTGCAGTGCATGCAGAGCTATTCCGTGATCCCCATCAAAGAAGTCAGGAGCTTCGACTTGCTTAATGGATCTCGAGACAGTCCCCAAGAACACTGTCACAAGTCTAGACGGACCCTCAGGTAACCCCAGCAATGCAAAGCAGCGCCGTGTGCCTGAAATCAACGCGAGATGAGGCCCAATTCCCCTGCATTGACTCCAGAGCCATCGCCCGTTCCCCATTCAACACGACCAGTGGCTTGACTTCATTCAGGTAACTCCAGAGATGCCCCGAGAACACTGTCACAAGTCCAGAGGAACACCAGCTTCAGCACAGCAACTCGAGGAATGCTCCGTGTACCCCAAATCTTCTCAAGATGAGAGCTGATTCCCTGGCTTAGGCTCAAGACGTATGCCACCCTTCCAGAAGCACCCCAAGAGGAGGCTTCTCTCAGCAATAGGTATGTGGGAGGGACCCCGAGTTTGCTGCCACAAGTGAAATATACAGCGAGAAGCCCTAACTTGAAAGGAGGCCGGATTTCCTTGCAGTGGCTTGAATACAGGCTCGTCTTTCATCTCACAACATGAAGGGATGTCTGAATCCCCTGTGTTGACCTGAGAGAAAGCCCTAGTTCCCTGCCTTTTTGACGGAATGCCTCACATCCCATTGACACCTCGAGAGGCACGCGGAGTTCACTGCTTCAAAAGGTGATGATGCCTGACTCCTCTTGAATATGGATAGGAATCCCAAAATCCCTGTGGCTACTGGAAAGGGTCCTTTGGTGCCATGCCTCACCTCGAGAAGCGTCCCTTTTGCCCTGCCAAGCCTTAAAGAGATTCCTGAGGTGTCCCTCGTTACTAGACAGGAGTCCTGACGTCACTGAATAAAGACGTGTTTTGAAGGGCCATCCCTGCCATAACTCGAGAACATACCCCAGGTCCCCACCGCAACTCGAGAAAAACGATGAGACTTCCCCCTAGAGGCGTGATGAGGCCCCATTCCCCTGCAGTGCATGCAGAGCTATTCCGTGATCCCCATCAAACAAGTCAGGAGCTTCGACTTGCTTAAAGGATCTCGAGAAAGTCCCCAAGAACACTGTCACCAGTCCAGACGGACCCTGAGGTCACTCCAACAAAGCAAAGCAGCTCCATGTGCCCCAAATCAACTCGAGATGAGGCCCGATTGTCCTGCATTGACTCCAGAGCCATCCCCCGTTATCCATTCAACAGGACCAGTGGCTTGACTTCCTTCAGGCAACTCCAGAGATTCCCCGAGAACACTGTCCCAAGTCTAGAGGAACACCCACTTCAGCACAGCAACTCGAGGAATGCTCCGTGTACCCCAAATCGTCTCGAGATGAGAGCTGATTCTCTGGCTCAGGCTCAAGACGTATGGTATCCACCCAGAAGCACCTCAAGAAGAGGCTTCTCTCAGCAATAGGTATGTGGGAGGGACCCCGAGTTTGCTGCCTCAAGTGGAATAAATAGCGAGAAGCCCTAACTTGAAAGGAGGCCGGATTTCCTTGCAGTGGTTTGAATACAGGCTCGTCTTTCATCTCACAACATGAAGGGATGTCTGAATCCCCTGTGGAGACCTTAGCGAAAGCCATAGGTCCCTGCCTCATTTTGACGGAATGCCTCACATCCCGTTGACACCTCGAGAGGCACGCGGAGTTCACTGCTTCAAAAGGTGACGATGCCTGACTCCTCTTGAATACTGATAGGAATCCCAAAATCACAGTGGCTACTGGAAAGAGTACTTGGGTGCCCTGCCTCACCTGGAGAAGCGTCCCTTTTGCCCTGACAAGCCTCGAAGAGATTCCTGAGGTGTCCCTCCTTACTAGACAGAGGTTTTGACGTCACTGAATAAACACGTGATTTGAAGGGCCATCCCTGCCGTAACTCGAGAACATACCCCAGGCCCCGCCGCAACTCGAGAAAAACCATGAGACTTCCCCCTAGAGGCGAGATGAGGCACCATTCCCCTGCAGTGCATGCAGAGCTATTCCGTGATCCCCATCAAACAAGTCAGGAGCTTCGACTTGCTTAATGGATCTCGAGACAGTCCCCAAGAACACTGTAACCAGTCTAGACGGAAACTGAGGTCACCACAGCAACACAGAGCAGGGCCGTGTGCCCCAAATCAACTCGAGATGAGGCCCGATTCCCCTGCATTGACTCCAGAGCCATCCCCCATTCCCCATTCAACAAGACAAGTGGCTTGACTTCCTTCAGGCAACTCCAGAAATGCCCCGAGAACACTGTCGCAAGTCTAGAGGAACACCAACTTCAGCACAGCAACTCGAGGAATGCACCGTGTACCCAAATCATATCGAGATGAAAGCTGATTCCCTGGCTTATATTCAAGACATATGCCAACCTTCCAGAAGCACCTCAAGAGGAGGCTTCTCTCAGCAATAGGTATGTGGGAGGGACCCCGAGTGTGCTGCCTCAATTGGAATATATAGCGAGAAGCCCTAACTTGAAAGGAGGCCAGATTTCCTTGCAGTGGCTTGAATACAGGCTCGTCTTTCATCTCACAACATGAAGGGATGTCTGAATCCCCTGTGGAGACCTTAGAGAAAGCCCTAGATCCCTGCCTCATTTTGACGGAAAGCCTCACATCCCGTTGACACCTCGAGAGGCATGCGGAGTTCACTGCTTCAAAAGGTGACGATGCCTGACTACTCTTGAATACTGATAGGAATCCCAAAATCACTGTGGCTACTGGAAAGGGTCTTTGGTGCCCTGCCTCAGCTCGAGAAGCTTCCGTTTTGCCCTGCCAAGCCTCGAAGAGATTCCTGAGGTGTCCCTCGTTACTAGACAGGAGTCCTGACGTCACTGAATAAACACGTGTTTTGAAGGGCCATCCCCGCCGTAACTCGAGAACATACCGCAGGTCCCGGCCGAACTCGAGAAAAACCATGAGATTTCCCCTAGAGGTGAGATGAGGCCACTTTCCCCTGCAGTGCATGCAGAGATATTCCGTAATCCCCATCAAACAAGTCAGGAGCTTCGACTTGCTTAATGGATCTCGAGACAGTCCCCAAGAACACTGTCACCAGACTAGACGGACCCTGAGGTCACCACAGCAAGGCAAAGCAGGGCCGTGTGCCCCAAATAAACTCGAGATGAGGCCCGATTCCACTGCATTGACTCCAGAGCCATCCCCCGTTCCCCATTCAACACGACCAGTGGCTTGACTTCCTTCAGGCAACTCCAGAGATGCCACGAGAACACTGTCGCCAGTCTAGAGGAACACCAACTTCAGCACAGCAACTCGAGGAATGCTCCGTGTACATCAAATCGTCTCGAGATGAGAGCTGATTCCCTGACTTAGGCTCAAGACGTATGCCACCCTTCCAGAAGCACCTCAGTAGGAGGCTTCTCTCAGCAATAGGTATGTGGGAGGGAACCCGAGTGTGCTGCCTCAAGTGGAATATATAGCGAGAAGCCCTAACTTGAAAGGAGGCCGGATTTCCTTGCAGTGGCTTGAATACAGGCTTGTCTTTCATCTCACAACATGAAGGGATGTCTGAATCCCCTGTGGAGACCTTAGCGAAAGCCCTAGGTCCCTGCCTCATTTTGACGGAATGCCTCACATCCCGTTGACACCTCTAGAGGCACGCGGGGTTCACTGCTTCAAAAGGTGACGATGCCTGACTCCTCTTGAATACTGACAGGAATCCCAAAATCACTGTGGCTACTGGAAAGAGTACCTGGGTGCCCTGCCTCACCTCGAGAAGCGTCCCTTTTGCCCTGTCAAGCCTCGAAGAGATTCCTGAGTTGGCCCTCGTTACTAGACAGGGGTTTTGACGTCACTGAATAAACACGTGATTTGAAGGGCCATCCCTGCCGTAACTCGAGAACATACCCCAGGTCCCCGCCGCAACTCGAGAAAAACCATGAGACTTCCCCCTAGAGGCGAGATGAGGCCCCATTCCCCTGCAGTGCATGCAGAGCTATTCCGTGATCCCCATCAAACAAGTCAGGAGCTTCGACTTGCTTAATGGATCTCGAGACAGTCCCCAAGAACACTGTCACCAGTCTAGACGGACACTGAGGTCACCACAGCAACGCAAAGCAGCGCCGTGTGCCCCAAATCAACTCGAGATGAGGCCCGATTTCCCTGCATTGACTTCAGAGCCATCCCCCGTTCCTCATTCAACAAGACCAGTGTCTTGACTTCCTTCAGGCAACCTCAGAGATGTCCCGAGAACACTGTCGCAAGTCTAGAGGAAGACCAAGTTCAGCACAGCAACTCGAGGAATGCTCCGTGTACCCAAATCATCTCGAGATGAGAGCTGATTCCCTGGATAATTTTCAAGACATATGCCAACCTTCCAGAAGCATCTCAAGAGGAGGCTTCTCTCAGCAATAGGTATGTGGGAGGGACCCCGAATTTGCTGCCTCAAGTGGAATATACAGCAAGAAGCCCTAACTTGAAAGGAGGCCGGATTTCCTTGCAGTGGCTTGAATATAGGCTCGTCTTTCAACTCACAACATGAAGGGATGGTCTGAATCCCCTGTGGAGACCTTAGAGAAAGCCCTAGGTCCCTGCCTCATTTTGACGGAATGCCTCACATCCCGTTGACACCTCGAGAGGCACGCGGAGTTCACTGCTTCAAAAGATGACGATGCCTGACTCCTCTTGAATACTGATAGGAATAGCAAAATTCCTGTGGCTACAGGAAAGTGTCTTTTGGTGCCCTGCCTCACATGGATTAGCGTCCCTTTTGCCCTGCCAAGCCTCAAAGAGATTCCTGAGGTGTCCCTCCTTACTAGACAGGAGTTCTGAAGTCACTGAATAAACACGTGTTTTGAAGGGCCATCCCCGCCGTAACTCGAGAACATACCCCAGGTCAACGCTGCAACTCGAGAAAAACCATGAGACTTCCATCTAGAGGCGAGATGAGGCCCCATTCCTCTGCAGTGCATGCAGAGCTATTCCGTGATCCCCATCAAACAAGTCAGGAGCTTCGACTTGCTTAACAGATCTCGAGACAGTCCCCAAGAACACTGTCACCAGTCCAGACGGACTCTGAAATCAAGCCAGCAACGCATAGCTGTTCCATGTGCCCTAAAGCAACTCGAGATGAGGCCCCATTCCCCTGCATTGACTCCAGAGCCATCCCCCGTTCTCCATTCAACAAGACCAGTGGCATGACTTCCTTCAGGCAACTCCAGAGATGCCCCGAGAACATTGTCGCAAGTCTAGAGGAACACCAACTTCAGCACAGCAACTAGAGGAATGCTCCGTGTACCCAAATCATCTCGAGATGAGAGCTGATTCCCCGGATAATTTTCAAGACATATGCCAACCTTCCAGAAGCACCTCAAGGGGAGGTTTCTCTCTGCAATAGGTATGTGGGAGGGACCCAGAGTTTGCTGCCTCAAGTGGAATATAGAGGGAGAAGCCCTAACTTGAAAGGAGGCCTTATTTCCTTGCAGTGGCTTAAATATAGGCTAGTCTTTCATCTCACAACATGAAGGGATGGGCTGAATCCCCTGTGTTGACCTGAGAGAAAGCCCTAGGTCCCTGCCTCATTTTGACGGAATGCCTCACATATCGTTGACACCTCGAGAGGCACGCTGAGTTCACTGCCTCAAAAGGTGTCGATGCCTGACTCCTCTTGAATACTGATAGGAATCCCAAAATCCCTGTGGCTACTGGAAAGTGTCTTTTGGTGCCCTGCCTCACCTGGATTAGCGTCCCTTTTGCCCTGCCAAGCCTCGAAGAGATTCCTGAGGTGTCCCTCGTTACTAGACAGGAGTCCTGACGTCACTGAATAAACACGTGTTTTGAAGGGCCATCCCCGCCGTAACTCGAAAACATACCCCAGGTCCCCGCCGCAACTCGAGAAAAACCATGAGACTTCCCCCTAGAGGTGAGATGAGGCCCCATTCCCCTGCAGTGCATGCAGAGCTATTCCGTGATCCCATTCAAACAAGTCAGGAGCTTCGACTTGCTTAATGGATCTCGAGACAGTCCCCAAGAACACTGTCACCAGACTAGACGGACCCTGAGGTCACCCCAGCAAGGCAAAGCAGGGCCTTGTGCGCCAAATATACTCGAGTACAGGCCCGATCCCACTGCATTGACTCCAGAGCCATCCCCCGTTCCCCATTCAACACGACCAGTGGCTTGACTTCCTTCAGACAACTCCAGAGATGCCCCGAGAACACTGTCGCAAGTCTAGAGGAACACCAACTTCAGCACAGCAACTCGAGGAAGGCTCCGTGTACCCCAAATCGTCTCGAGATGAGAGCTGATTCCCTGCCTTAGGCTCAAGACGTATGCCACCCTTCCAGAAGCACCTCAGGAGGAGGCTTCTCTCAGCAATAGGTATGTGGGAGGGACCCCGAGTGTGCTGCCTCAAGTGGAATATATAGTGAGAAGCCCTAACTTGAAAGGAGGCCGGATTTCCTTGCCGTGGCTTGAATACAGGCTCGTCTTTCATCTCACAACATGAAGGGATGTCTGTATCCCCTGTGGAGACCTTAGCGAAAGCCCTAGTTCCCTGCCTCATTTTGACGGAATGCCTCACATCCCGTTGACACCTCGAGAGGCACGCGGAGTTCACTGCTTCAAAAGGTGATGATGCCTGACTCCTCTTGAATACTGATAGGAATCCCAAAATCACTGTGGCTACGGGAAAGAGTCCTTGGGTGCCCTGCCTCACCTCGAGAAGCGTCCCTTTTGCCCTGTCAAGCCTCGAAGAGATTCCGGAGGTATCCCTCGTTACTAGACAGGGGTTTTGACGTCACTGAATAAACACGTGATTTGAAGGGCCATCCCTGCCGTAACTCGAGAACATACCCCAGGTCCCCGCCGCAACTCGAGGAAAACCATGAGACTTCCCCCTAGAGGCGAGATGAGGCCCCATTCCCATGCAGTGCATGCAGAACTATTCCGTGATCCCCATCAAACAAGTCAGGAGCTTCGACTTGCGTAATGGATCTCGAAACAGTCCCCAAGACCACTGTCACCAGTCTAGACGGACCCTGAGGTCACCCCAGCAACGCAAAGCATCTCCATGTGCCCCATATCAACTCGAAGTGAGGCCCGATTCCCCTGCATTGACTCCAGAGCCATTCCCCGTTCCCCACTCAACACGACCGGTGGCTCGACTTCCTTCAGGCAACTCCAGAGATGCCCCGAGAACACTGTCGCAAGTCCAGAGAAACACCAACTTCAGCACAGCAACTCGAGGAATCCTCCGTGTACCCAAATCATCTCGAGATGAGAGCTGATTCCCTAGCATATTTTCAAGACATATGCCAACCTTCCAGAAGCACCTGAAGAGGAGGCTTCTCTCAACAATAGGTATGTGGGAGGGACCTCGAGTTTGCTGCCTCAAGTGGAATATACAGCGAGAAGCCCTAACTTGAAAGGAGGCCGGATTTCCTTGCAGTGGCTTGAATATAGGCTCGTCTTTCATCTCACGACATGAAGGGATGATCTGAATCCCCTGTGGAGACCTGAGAGAAAGCCCTAGGTCCCTGCCTCATTTTGACGGAATGCCTCATATCCCGTTGACACGTCGAGAGGCACGCGGAGTTCACTGCTTCAAAAGGTGACGATGCCTGACTCCTCTTGAATACTGATAGGAATCCCAAAATCCCTGTGGCTACTGGAATGTGTCCTTTGGTGCCCTGCCTCACCTGGATTAGCGTCCCTTTTGCCCTGCCAAGCCTCGCAGAGATTCCTGAGGTGTCCCTCGTTACTAGACAGGAGTTCTGACGTCACTGAATAAACACGTGATTTGAAGGGCCATCCCTGCCGTAACTCAAGAACATACCCCAGGTCCCTGCCGCAACTCGAGAAAAAACATGAGACTTCCCCCTAGAGGTAAGATGAGGCACCATTCCCCTGCAGTGCATGGAGAGCTATTCCGTGATCCCCATCAAACAAGTCAGGACCTTCGACTTGCTTAACGGATCTCGAGACAGTCCCCAAGAACACTGTCACCAGTGTAGACCCACTCTGAGGTAAAGCCAGCAACGCAAAGCAGCTCCATGTGCCCCAATTCAACTCGAGATGAGGCCCGATTCCCCTGCATTGACTCCAGAGCCAGCCCCCGTTATCCATTCCACACGACCAGTGTCTTGACTTCCTTCAGCCAACTCCAGAGATGCCCCGAGAACAATGTCCCAAGTCTAGAGGAACACCAAATTCAGCACAGCAACACGAGGATTGCTCCGTGTACCCCAAATTATCTCGAGATGAGAGCTGATTCCCTGGCTTAGGCTCAAGGCGTATGCCAACCTTCCAGAAGCACCTCAGTAGGAGGCTTCTCTCAGCAATAGGTATGTGGGAGGGACCCCGAGTTTGCTGCCTCAAGTGGAATATACAACGAGAAGCCCTAACTTGAAAGGAGGCCGGATTACCTTGCAGTGGCTTGAATACAGGCTCGTCTTTCATCTCACAACATGAAGGGTTGTCTGAATCTCCTGTCGTGACCTGAGAGAAAGCCCTAGTTCCCTGCCTCATTTTGACGGAATGCCTCACATACCGTTGACTCCTTGGGATGCACACGGAGTTCACTGTTTTAAAAGGTGACGATGCCTGACTCCTCTTCAATACTGATAGGAATCCCAAAATCCCTGTGGCTACTGAAATGGGTCTTTGGTGCCCTGCCTCAGCTCGAGAAGCGTCCCTTTTACCCTGCCAAGCCTCGAAGAGATCCCTGAGGTGTCCCTCGTTACTAGACAGGAGTCCTGACGTCACTGAATAAAGACGTGTTTTGAAGGGCCATCCCCGCCGTAACTCGAGAACCTACCCCAGGTCCCCACCGCAACTCGAGAAAAACCACGAGACTTCCCCCTAGAAGCGAGATGAGGCCCCATTCCCCTGCAGTGCATGCAGAGCTATTCCGTGATCCCCATCAAACAAGTCAGGACTTCGACTTGCTTAACGGATCTCGAGACAGTCCCCAAGAACACTGTCACCAGTCTAGACGGACCCTGCAGTCACCCCAGCAACGCAAAGCAGCTCCGTGTGCCCCAAATCAACTCGAGATGAGGCCCGATTACACTGCATTGACTCCAGAGCCATCCCCTGTTCCACATTCAACACATCCAGTGGCTTGACTTCCTTCAGGCAACTCCAGAGATGCCAAGAGAACACTGTCGCAAGTCTAGAGGAACACCAACTTCAGCAGAGCAACTCGAGGAATGCTCCGTGTACCCCAAATCGTCTCGAGATGAGAGCTGATTCCCAGACTTAGGCTCAAGACGTATGCCACCCTTCCAGAAGCACCTCAGGAGGAGACTTCTCTCAGCAATAGGTATGTGGGAGGGACCCCGAGTTTGCTGCCTCAAGTGGAATATATAGCGAGAAGTCCTAACTTGAAAGGAGGCGGGATTTCCTTGCAGTGGCTTGAATAGAGGCTCGTCTTTCATCTCACAACATGAAGGGATGACTGAATCCACTGTGGAGACCTTAGCGAAAGCCCTAGTTCCCTGCCTCATTTTGACGGAATGCCTCACATCCCGTTGACAACTCAAGAGGCACGCGGAGTTCACTGCTTCAAGAGGTGACGATGCCTGACTCCTCTTGAATACTGATAGGAATCCCAAAATCACAGTGGCTACTGGAAAGGCTCCTTGGGTGCCCTGCCTCACCTCGAGAAGCGTCTCTTTTGCCCTGCCAAGCCTCGAAGAGATTCCTGAGGTGTCCCTCGTTACTAGACAGGAGCCCTGACGTCACTGAATAAACACGTGTTTTGAAGGGCCATCCCCGCCGTAACTCGAGAACATACCACCGGTCCCCGCCGAACTCGAGAAAAACCATGAGACTTCCCCCTAGAGGCGAGATGAGGCCCCATTCCCCTGCAGTGCATGCAGAGCTATTCCGTGATCCCCATCAAACAAGTCAGGAGCTTCGACTTGCTTAACGGATCTCGAGACAGTCCCCAAGAACACTGTCACCAGACTAGACGGACCCTGAGGTCACCCCAGCAAGGCAAAGCAGGGCCTTGTGCCCCAAATATACTCGAGTACAGGCCCGATCCCACTGCATTGACTCCAGAGCCATCCCCCGTTCCCCATTCAACACGACCAGTGGCTTGACTTCCTTCAGACAACTCCAGAGATGCCCCGAGAACACTGTCGCAAGTCTAGAGGAACACCTACTTCAGCACAGCAACTCGAGGAATGCTCCGTGTACACCAAATCGTCTCGAGATGAGAGCTGATTCCCTGACTTAGGCTCAAGACGTATGCCACCCTTCCAGAAGCACCTCAGGAGGAGGCTTCTCTCAGCAATAGATATGTGGGAGGGACCCCGAGTGTGCTGCCTCAAGTGGAATATATAGCGAGAAGCCCTACCTTGAAAGGAGGCCGGATTTCCTTGCAGTGGCTTGAATACAGGCTCGTCTTTCATCTCACAACATGAAGGGATGTCTGAATCCCCTGTGGAGACCTTAGAGAAAGCCCTAGGTCCCTGCCTCATTTTGACGGAATGCCTCACATCCCGTTGACATCTCGAGAGGCACACGGAGTTCACTGCTTCAAAAGGTGACGATGCCTGACTCCTCTTGAATACTGATAGGAATCCCAAAATCACTGTGGCTACTGGAAAGAGTACTTGGGTGCCCTGCCTCACCTCGAGAAGCGTCCCTTTTGCCCTGTCAAGCCTCGAAGAGATTCCTGAGGTGTCCCTCCTTACTAGACAGAGGTTTTGACGTCACTGTATAAACACGTGATTTGAAGGGCCATCCCTGCCTTAACTCGAGAACATACCCCAGGTCCCCACAGCAACTCGAGAAAAAACATGAGACTTCCCCCTAGAGGAGAGATGAGGCCCAATTGCCCTGCAGTGCATGCAGAGCTATTCCGTGATCCCCATTAAACAAGTCAGGAGCTTCGACTTGCTTAATGGATCTCGAGAGAGTCCCCAAGAACACTGTCACCAGACTAGACGGATCCTGAGGTCACCCCAGCAAGGCAAACCAGGGCGGTGTGCCCCAAATCAACTGGAGATGAGGCCCGATTCCCCTGCACTTACTCCAGAGCCATCGCCCATTCCCCATTCAACACGACCAGTGGCTTGACTTCCTTCAGGCAACTCCAGAGATGCCAAGAGAACACTGTTGCAAGTCTAGAGGAACACCAACTTCTGCACAGCAACTCGAGGAATGCTCCGTGTACCCCAAATCGTCTCGAGATGAGAGCTGATTCCCTGACTTAGGCTCAAGACGTATGCCACCCTTCCAGAAGCACCTCAGGAGGAGGCTTCTCTCAGCAATAATTATGTGGGAGGGACCCCGAATATGCTGCCTCAAGTGGAATATATAGCGAGAAGCCCTAACTTGAAAGGAGGCCGGATTTCCTTGCAGTGGCTTGAATACAGGATCGTCTTTCATCTCACAACATGAAGGGATGTCTGAATCCCCTGTGGAGACCTTAGCGAAAGCCCTAGGTCCCTGCCTCATTTTGACGGAATGCCTCACATCCCGTTGACACCTCGAGAGGCACGCGGAGTTCACTGCTTCAAAATGTGACGATGACTGACTCCTCTTGAAAACCCATAAGAATCCCAAAATCACTGTGGCTACTAGAAAGGGTCCTTGGGTTCCCTGCCTCACCTCGAAAAGCTTCCCTTTTGCCTGCCAAGCCTCGAAGAGATTCCTGAGGTGTCCCTCGTTACTAGACAGGAGTCCTGACGTCACTGAATAAACACGTGTTTTGAAGGGCCATCCCCGCCGTAACTCGAGAACATACCCCAGGTCCCCGCCGCAACTCGAGAAAAACCATGAGACTTCCCCCTAGAGGTGAGATGAGGCCCCATTCCCCTGCAGTGCATGCAGAGCTATTCCGTGATCCCCATCAAACAAGTCTGGAGCTTCAACTTGCTTAATGGATCTCGAGACAGTCCCCAAGAACACTGTCACCAGAATAGACGGACCCTGAGGTCACCCCAGCAAGGCAAAGCAGGGCCTTGTGCCCCAAATATACTCGAGTACAGGCCCGATTCCACTGCATTGACTCCAGAGCCATCCCCCGTTCCCCATTCAACACGACCAGTGGCTTGACTTCCTTCAGGCAACTCCAGAGATGCCCAGAGACCACTGTCCCAAGTCTAGAGGAACACCCACTTCAGCACAGCAACTCGAGGAATGCTCCGTGTACCCCAAATCGTTTCGAGATGAGAGTTGATTCTCTGGCTCAAGCTCAAGACGTATGGCATCCATCCAGAAGCACCTCAAGAGGAGGCTTCTCTCAGCAATAGGTATGTGGGAGGGACCCCGAGTTTGCTGCCTCATGTGGAATATACAGCGAGAAGCCCTGACTTGAAAGGAGGTCGGATTTCCTTGCAGTAGCTTGAATATAGGCTCGTCTTTCATCTCAAAACATGAAGGGATGTCTGAATGCCCTGTGGAGACCTGAGAGAAAGCCCTAGTTCCCTGCCTCATTTTGACGGAATGCCTCACATCCCGTTGAAACCTCGAGAGGCACGCGGAGTTCACTGCTTCAAAAGGTGACGATGCCTGACTCCTCTTCAATACTGATAGGAATCCAAAAATCCCTGTGGCTACTGAAACGGGTCTTTGCTGTCCTGCCTCAGCTCGCGAAGCGTCCCTTTTGCCCTGCCAAGCCTCGAAGAGATTCCTGAGGTGTCCCTCGTTACTAGACAGGAGTCCTGATGTCACTGAATAAACACGTGTTTTGAAGGGCCATCCCCGCCGTAACTCGAGAACATACCCCAGGTCTCCGCCGCAACTCGAGAAAAACCATGAGACTTCCCCCTAGAGGTGAGATGAGGCCCCATTCCCCTGCAGTGCATGCAGAGCTATTCCGTGATCCCCATCAAACAAGTCAGGAGCTTCGACTTGCTTAACGGATCTCGAGACAGTCCCCAAGAACACTGTCACCAGACTAGACGGACCCTGAGGTCACCCCAGCAAGGCAAAGCAGGGCCTTGTGCCCCAAATATACTCCAGTACAGGCCCGATCCCACTGCATTGACTCCAGAGCCATCCCCCGTTCCCCATTCAACACGACCAGTGGCTTGACTTCCTTCAGACAACTCCAGAGATGCCCCGAGAACACTGTCGCAAGTCTAGAGGAACACCTACTTCAGCACAGCAACTAGAGGAATGCTCCGTGTACCCCAAATCGTCTCGAGATGAGAGCTGATCCCCTGAATTAAGCTGAAGACGTATGGCACCCTTCCAGAACCACCTCAGTAGGAGGCTTCTCTCAGCAATAGGTATGTGGGAGGGACCCCGAGTTTGGTGCCTCAAGTGGAATATATAGCGAGAAGTCCTAACTTGAAAGGAGGCGGGATTTCCTTGCAGTGGCTTGAATAGAGGCTCGTCTTTCATCTCACAACATGAAGGGATGACTGAATCCACTGTGGAGACCTTAGCGAAAGCCCTAGTTCCCTGCCTCATTTTGACGGAATGCCTCACATCCCGTTGACAACTCAAGAGGCACGCGGAGTTCACTGCTTCAAGAGGTGACGATGCCTGACTCCTCTTGAATACTGATAGGAATCCCAAAATCACAGTGGCTACTGGAAAGGCTCCTTGGGTGCCCTGCCTCACCTCGAAAAGCGTCTCTTTAGCCCTGCCAAGCCTCGAAGAGATTCCTGAGGTGTCCCTCGTTACTAGACAGGAGCCCTGACGACACTGAATAAACACGTGTTTTGAAGGGCCATCCCCGCCGTAACTCGAGAACATACCACCGGTCCCCGCCGAACTCGAGAAATACTATGAGACTTCCCCCTAGAGGCGAGATGAGGCCCCATTCCCCTGCAGTGCATGCAGAGCTATTCCGTGATCCCCATCAATCAAGTCAGGAGCTTCGACTTGCTTAACGGATCTTGAGACAGTCCCCAAGAACACTGTCACCAGTCTAGACGGACCCTGAGGTCACCCCAGCAACGCAAAGCAGCTCCGTGTGCCCCAAATCAACTCCAGATGAGGCCCGATCCCCCTACAATGACTCCAGAGCCATCCCCCGTGACCCGTTCAACACAACCAGTGGCTTGACTTCCTTCAGGCAACTCCAGAGATGCCAAGAGAACACTGTCGAAAGTCTAGAGGAACACCAACTTCAGCACAGCAACTCGAGGAATGCTCCGTGTACCCCAAATCGTCTCGAGATGAGAGCTGATTCCCTGACTTAGGCTCAAGACGTATGCCACCCTTCCAGAAGCACCTCAGGAGGAGGCTTCTCTCAGCAATAGGTATGTGGGAGGGACCCCGAGTGTGCTGCCTCAAGTGGAATATATAGCGAGAAGCCCTAACTTGAAAGGAGGCCGGATTTCCTTGCAGTGGCTTGAATACAGGCTCGTCTTTCATCTCACAACATGAAGGGATGTCTGAATCCCCTGTGGAGACCTTAGCGAAAGCCCTAGGTCCCTGCCTCATTTTGACGGAATGCCTCACATCCCGTTGACATCTCGAGAGGCACACGGAGTTCACTGCTTCAAAAGGTGACGATGCCTGACTCCTCTTGAATACTGATAGGAATCCCAAAATCACTGTGGCTACTGGAAAGAGTCCTTGGGTGCCCTGCCTCACCTCGAGAAGCGTCCCTTTTGCCCTGTCAAGCCTCGAAGAGATTCCTGAGGTGTCCCTCCTTACTAGACAGAGGTTTTGACGTCACTGTATAAACACGTGATTTGAAGGGCCATCCCTGCCGTAACTCGAGAACATACCCCAGGCCCCGCCACAACTCGAGAAAAACCATGAGACTTCCCCGTATAGGTGAGATGAGGCACCATTCCTCTGCAGTGCATGCAGAGCTATTCCGTGATCCCCATCAAACAAGTCAGGAGCTTCGACTTGCTTAATGGATCTCGAGACAGTCCCCAAGAACACTGTAACCAGTCTAGACGGACAATGAGGTCACCACAGCAACACATAGCAGGGCCGTGTGCCCCAAATCAACTCGAGATGAGGGCCGATTCCCCTGCATTGAATACAGGGCCATCCCCCATTCCCCATTCAACAAGACCAGTGGCTTGACTTCCTTCAGGCAACTCCAGAGAAGCCCCGAGAACATTGTCGCAAGTCTAGAAGAACACCAACTTCAGCACAGCAACTCGAGGAATGCTCCGTGTACCCAAATCATATCGAGATGAAAGCTGATTCCCTGGCTTATTTTCAAGACATATGCCAACCTTCCAGAAGCACCTCAAGAGGAGGCTTCTCTCAGCAATAGGTATGTGGGAGGGACCCCGAGTTTGCTGCCTCAAGTGGAATATACAACGAGAAGCCCTAACTTGAAAGGAGGCCGGATTTCCTTGCAGTGGCTTGAATATAGGCTCGTCTTTCATCTCACAACATGAAGGGATGGTCTGAATCCCCTGTGGAGACCTTAGAGAAAGCCCTAGGTCCCTGCCTCATTTTGACGGAATGCCTCACATCCCGTTGACACCTCGAGAGGAAGGCGGAGTTCACTGCTTCAAAAAGTGACGATGCCTGACTCCTCTTGAATACAGATAGAAATCCCAAAATCACTGTGGCTACTGGAAAGGGTCATTGGGTGCCATGCCTCACATCGAGAAGCGTCTCTTTTGCCCTGCAAAGCCTCGAAGAGATTCCTGAAGTGTCCCTCGTTACTAGACAGGAGTCCTGGCGTCACTGAATAAACACGTGTTTTGAAGGGCCATCCCCGCGGTAACTCGAGAACATAACCCCGGTCCCCGCCGAACTCGAGAAAAACCATGAGACTTCCCCCTAGAGGCGAGTTGAGGCCCCATTCCCCTGCAGTGCATGCAGAGCTATTCCGTGATCCCCATCAAAGAAGTCAGGAGCTTCGACTTGCTTAATGGATCTCGAGACAGTCCCCAAGAACACTGTCACAAGTCTAGACGGACCCTCAGGTAACCCCAGCAATGCAAAGCAGCGCCGTGTGCCTGAAATCAACGCAAGATGAGGCCCAATTCCCCTGCATTGACTCCAGAGCCATCGCCCGTTCCCCATTCAACACGACCAGTGGCTTGACTTCATTCAGGTAACTCCAGAGATGCCCCGAGAACACTGTCACAAGTCCAGAGGAACACCAGCTTCAGCACAGCAACTCGAGGAATGCTCCGTGTACCCCAAATCTTCTCAAGATGAGAGCTGATTCCCTGGCTTAGGCTCAAGACGTATGCCACCCTTCCAGAAGCACCCCAAGAGGAGGCTTCTCTCAGCAATAGGTATGTGGGAGGGACCCCGAGTTTGCTGCCACAAGTGAAATATACAGCGAGAAGCCCTAACTTGAAAGGAGGCCGGATTTCCTTGCAGTGGCTTGAATACAGGCTCGTCTTTCATCTCACAACATGAAGGGATGTCTGAATCCCCTGTGTTGACCTGAGAGAAAGCCCTAGTTCCCTGCCTTTTTGACGGAATGCCTCACATCCCGTTGACACCTCGAGAGGCACGCGGAGTTCACTGCTTCAAAAGGTGATGATGCCTGACTCCTCTTGAATATGGATAGGAATCCCAAAATCCCTGTGGCTACTGGAAAGGGTCCTTTGGTGCCATGCCTCACCTCGAGAAGCGTCCCTTTTGCCCTGCCAAGCCTTAAAGAGATTCCTGAGGTGTCCCTCGTTACTAGACAGGAGTCCTGACGTCACTGAATAAAGACGTGTTTTGAAGGGCCATCCCAGCCATAACTCGAGAACATACCCCAGGTCCCCACCGCAACTCGAGAAAAACGATGAGACTTCCCCCTAGAGGCGTGATGAGGCCCCATTCCCCTGCAGTGCATGCAGAGCTATTCCGTGATCCCCATCAAACAAGTCAGGAGCTTCGACTTGCTTAACGGATCTCGAGAAAGTCCCCAAGAACACTGTCACCAGTCCAGAAGGACCCTGAGGTCACTCCAACAAAGCAAAGCAGCTCCATGTGCCCCAAATCAACTCGAGATGAGGCCCGATTCCCCTGCATTGACTCCAGAGCCATCCCCCGTTATCCATTCAACACGACCAGTGGCTTGACTTCCTTCAGGCAACTCCAGAGATGCCCCGAGAACACTGTCCCAAGTCTAGAGGAACACCCACTTCAGCAGAGCAACTCGAGGAATGCTCCGTGTACCCCAAATCGTCTCGAGATGAGAGCTGATTCTCTGGCTCAGGCTCAAGACGTATGGTATCCATCCAGAAGCACCTCAAGAAGAGGCTTCTCTCAGCAATAGGTATGTGGGAGGGACCCCAAGTTTGCTGCCTCAAGTGGAATAAATAGCAAGAAGCCCTAACTTGAAAGGAGGCCGGATTTCCTTGCAGTGGCTTGAATACAGGCTCGTCTTTCATCTCACAACATGAAGGGATGTCTGAATCCCCTGTGGAGACCTTAGCGAAAGCCATAGGTCCCTGCCTCATTTTGACGGAATGCCTCACATCCCGTTGACACCTCGAGAGGCACGCGGAGTTCACTGCTTCAAAAGGTGACGATGCCTGACTCTCTTGAATACTGATAGGAATCCCAAAATCACAGTGGCTACTGGAAAGAGTACTTGGGTGCCCTGCCTCACATGGAGAAGCGTCCCTTTTGCCCTGACAAGCCTCGAAGAGATTCCTGAGGTGTCCCTCCTTACTAGACAGAGGTTTTGACGTCACTGAATAAACACGTGATTTGAAGGGCCATCCCTGCCGTAACTCGAGAACATACCCCAGGCCCTGCCGCAACTCGAGAAAAACCATGAGACTTCCCCCTAGAGGCGAGATGAGGCACCATTCCCCTGCAGTGCATGCAGAGCTATTCCGTGATCCCCATCAAACAAGTCAGGAGCTTCGACTTGCTTAATGGATCTCGAGACAGTCCCCAAGAACACTGTAACCAGTCTAGACGGAAACTGAGGTCACCACAGCAACACAGAGCAGGGCCGTGTGCCCCAAATCAACTCGAGATGAGGCCCGATTCCCCTGCATTGACTCCAGAGCCATCCCCCATTCCCCATTCAACAAGACAAGTCGCTTGACTTCCTTCAGGCAACTCCAGAAATGCCCCGAGAACACTGTTGCAAGTCTAGAGGAACACCAACTTCAGCACAGCAACTCGAGGAATGCACCGTGTACCCAAATCTTATCGAGATGAAAGCTGATTCCCTGGCTTATATTCAAGACATATGCCAACCTTCCAGAAGCACCTCAAGAGGAGGCTTCTCTCAGCAATAGGTATGTGGGAGGGACCCCGAGTGTGCTGCCTCAATTGGAATATATAGCGAGAAGCCCTAACTTGAAAGGAGGCCAGATTTCCTTGCAGTGGCTTGAATACAGGCTCGTCTTTCATCTCACAACATGAAGGGATGTCTGAATCCCCTGTGGAGAACTTAGCGAAAGCCCTAGATCCCTGCCTCATTTTGACGGAAAGCCTCACATCCCGTTGACACCTCGAGAGGCATGCGGAGTTCACTGCTTCAAAAGGTGACGATGCCTGACTACTCTTGAATACTGATAGGAATCCCAAAATCACTGTGGCTACTGGAAAGGGTCTTTGGTGCCCTGCCTCAGCTCGAGAAGCTTCCGTTTTGCCCTGCCAAGCCTCGAAGAGATTCCTGAGGTGTCCCTCGTTACTAGACAGGAGTGCTGACGTCACTGAATAAACACGTGTTTTGAAGGGCCATCCCCGCCGTAACTCGAGAACATACCGCAGGTCCCGGCCGAACTCGAGAAAAACCATGAGATTTCCCCTAGAGGTGAGATGAGGCCACTTTCCCCTGCAGTGCATGCAGAGATATTCCGTAATCCCCATCAAACAAGTCAGGAGCTTCGACTTGCTTAATGGATCTCGATACAGTCCCCAAGAACACTGTCACCAGACTAGACGGACCCTGAGGTCACCACAGCAAGGCAAAGCAGGGCCGTGTGCCCCAAATAAACTCGAGATGAGGCCCGATTCCACTGCATTGACTCCAGAGCCATCACCCGTTCCCCATTCAACACGACCAGTGGCTTGACTTCCTTCAGGCAACTCCAGAGATGCCACGAGAACACTGTCGCCAGTCTAGAGGAACACCAACTTCAGCACAGCAACTCGAGGAATGCTCCGTGTACCCCAAATCGTCTCGAGATGAGAGCTGATTCCCTGACTTAGGCTCAAGACGTATGCCACCCTTCCAGAAGCACCTCAGTAGGAGGCTTCTCTCAGCAATAGGTATGTGGGAGGGAACCCGAGTGTGCTGCCTCAAGTGGAATATATAGCGAGAAGCCCTAACTTGAAAGGAGGCCGGATTTCTTTGCAGTGGCTTGAATACAGGCTTGTCTTTCATCTCACAACATGAAGGGATGTCTGAATCCCCTGTGGAGAACTTAGCGAAAGCCCTAGGTCCCTGCCTCATTTTGACGGAATGCCTCACATCCCGTTGACACCTCTAGAGGCACGCGGGGTTCACTGCTTCAAAAGGTGACGATGCCTGACTCCTCTTGAATACTGATAGGAATCCCAAAATCACTGTGGCTACTGGAAAGAGTACCTGGGTGCCCTGCCTCACTTCGAGAAGCGTGCCTTTTGCCCTGTCAAGCCTCGAAGAGATTCCTGAGTTGGCCCTCGTTACTAGACAGGGGTTTTGACGTCACTGAATAAACACGTGATTTGAAGGGCCATCCCTGCCGTAACTCGAGAACATACCCCAGGTCCCCGCCGCAACTCGAGAAAAACCATGAGACTTCCCCCTAGAGGCGAGATGAGGCCCCATTCCCCTGCAGTGCATGCAGAGCTATTCCGTGATCCCCATCAAACAAGTCAGGAGCTACGACTTGCTTAATGGATCTCGAGACAGTCCCCAAGAACACTGTCACCAGTCTAGACGGACACTGAGGTCACCACAGCAACGCAAAGCAGCGCCGTGTGCCCCAAATCAACTCGAGATGAGGCCCGATTCCCCTGCATTGACTTCAGAGCCATCCCCCGTTCCTCATTCAACAAGACCAGTGTCTTGACTTCCTTCAGGCAACCTCAGAGATGTCCCGAGAACACTGTCGCAATCTAGAGGAACACCAAGTTCAGCACAGCAACTCGAGGAATGCTCCGTGTACCCAAATCATCTCGAGATGAGAGCTGATTCCCTGGATAATTTTCAAGACATATGCCAACCTTCCAGAAGCATCTCAAGAGGAGGCTTCTCTCAGCAATAGGTATGTGGGAGGGACCCCGAATTTGCTGCCTCAAGTGGAATATACAGCGAGAAGCCCTAACTTGAAAGGAGGCCGGATTTCCTTGCAGTGGCTTGAATATAGGCTCGTCTTTCAACTCACAACATGAAGGGATGGTCTGAATCCCCTGTGGAGACCTTAGAGAAAGCCCTAGGTCCCTGCCTCATTTTGACGGAATGCCTCACATCCCGTTGACACCTCGAGAGGCACGCGGAGTTCACTGCTTCAAAAGATGACGATGCCTGACTCCTCTTGAATACTGATAGGAATACCAAAATTCCTGTGGCTACAGGAAAGTGTCTTTTGGTGCCCTGCCTCACATGGATTAGCGTCCCTTTTGCCCTGCCAAGCCTCAAAGAGATTCCTGAGGTGTCCCTCCTTACTAGACAGGAGTTCTGAAGTCACTGAATAAACACGTGTTTTGAAGGGCCATCCCCGCCGTAACTCGAGAACATACCCCAGGTCAACGCTGCAACTCAAGAAAAACCATGAGACTTCCATCTAGAGGCGAGATGAGGCCCCATTCCTCTGCAGTGCATGCAGAGCTATTCCGTGATCCCCATCAAACAAGTCAGGAGCTTCGACTTGCTTAACAGATCTCGAGACAGTCCCCAAGAACACTGTCACCAGTCCAGACGGACTCTGAAATCAAGTCAGCAACGCAAAGCTGTTCCATGTGCCCTAAAGCAACTCGAGATGAGGCCCCATTCCCCTGCATTGACTCCAGAGCCATCCCCCGTTCTCCATTCAACAAGACCAGTGGCATGACTTCCTTCAGGCAACTCCAGAGATGCCCCGAGAACATTGTCGCAAGTCTAGAGGAACACCAACTTCAGCACAGCAACTAGAGGAATGCTCCGTGTACCCAAATCATCTCGAGATGAGAGCTGATTCCCCGGATAATTTTCAAGACATATGCCAACCTTCCAGAAGCACCTCAAGAGGAGGTTTCTCTCTGCAATAGGTATGTGGGAGGGACCCAGAGTTTGCTGCCTCAAGTGGAATATAGAGGGAGAAGCCCTAACTTGAAAGGAGGCCTTATTTCCTTGCAGTGGCTTAAATATAGGCTAGTCTTTCATCTCACAACATGAAGGGATGGTCTGAATCCCCTGTGTTGACCTGAGAGAAAGCCCTAGGTCCCTGCCTCATTTTGACGGAATGCCTCACATATCGTTGACACCTCGAGAGGCACGCTGAGTTCACTGCCTCAAAAGGTGTCGATGCCTGACTCCTCTTGAATACTGATAGGAATCCCAAAATCCCTGTGGCTACTGGAAAGTGTCCTTTGGTGCCCTGCCTCACCTGGATTAGCGTCCCTTTTGCCCTGCCAAGCCTCAAAGAGATTCCTGAGGTGTCCCTCGTTACTAGACAGGAGTCCTGACGTCACTGAATAAACACGTGTTTTGAAGGGCCATCCCCGCCGTAACTCGAAAACATACCCCAGGTCCCCGCCGCAACTCGAGAAAAACCATGAGACTTCCCCCTAGAGGTGAGATGAGGCCCCATTCCCCTGCAGTGCATGCAGAGCTATTCCGTGATCCCATTCAAACAAGTCAGGAGCTTCGACTTGCTTAATGGATCTCCAGACAGTCCCCAAGAACACTGTCACCAGACTAGACGGACCCTGAGGTCACCCCAGCAAGGCAAAGCAGGGCCTTGTGCGCCAAATATACTCGAGTACAGGCCCGATCCCACTGCATTGACTCCAGAGCCATCCCCCGTTCCGCATTCAACACGACCAGTGGCTTGACTTCCTTCAGACAACTCCAGAGATGCCCCGAGAACACTGTCGCAAGTCTAGAGGAACACCAACTTCAGCACAGCAACTCGAGGAAGGCTCCGTGTACCCCAAATCGTCTCGAGATGAGAGCTGATTCCCTGCCTTAGGCTCAAGACGTATGCCACCCTTCCAGAAGCAACTCAGGAGGAGGCTTCTCTCAGCAATAGGTATGTGGGAGGGACCCCGAGTGTGCTGCCTCAAGTGGAATATATAGTGAGAAGCCCTAACTTGAAAGGAGGCCGGATTTCCTTGCCGTGGCTTGAATACAGGCTCGTCTTTCATCTCACAACATGAAGGGATGTCTGTATCCCCTGTGGAGACCTTAGCGAAAGCCCTAGTTCCCTGCCTCATTTTGACGGAATGCCTCACATCCCGTTGACACCTCGAGAGGCACGCGGAGTTCACTGCTTCAAAAGGTGATGATGCCTGACTCCTCTTGAATACTGATAGGAATCCCAAAATCACTGTGGCTACGGGAAAGAGTCCTTGGGTGCCCTGCCTCACCTCGAGAAGCGTCCCTTTTGCCCTGTCAAGCCTCGAAGAGATTCCGGAGGTATCCCTCGTTACTAGACAGGGGTTTTGACGTCACTGAATAAACACGTGATTTGAAGGGCCATCCCTGCCGTAACTCGAGAACATACCCCAGGTCCCCGCCGCAACTCGAGGAAAACCATGAGACTTCCCCCTAGAGGCGAGATGAGGCCCCATTCCCATGCAGTGCATGCAGAACTATTCCGTGATCCCCATCAAACAAGTCAGGAGCTTCGACTTGCGTAATGGATCTCGAAACAGTCCCCAAGACCACTGTCACCAGTCTAGACGGACCCTGAGGTCACCCCAGCAACGCAAAGCATCTCCATGTGCCCCATATCAACTCGAAGTGAGGCCCGATTCCCCTGCATTGACTCCAGAGCCATTCCCCGTTCCCCACTCAACACGACCGGTGGCTCGACTTCCTTCAGGCAACTCCAGAGATGCCCCGAGAACACTGTCGCAAGTCCAGAGAAACACCAACTTCAGCACAGCAACTCGAGGAATCCTCCGTGTACCCAAATCATCTCGAGATGAGAGCTGATTCCCTAGCATATTTTCAAGACATATGCCAACCTTCCAGAAGCACCTCAAGAGGAGGCTTCTCTCAACAATAGGTATGTGGGAGGGACCTCGAGTTTGCTGCCTCAAGTGGAATATACAGCGAGAAGCCCTAACTTGAAAGGAGGCCGGATTTCCTTGCAGTGGCTTGAATATAGGCTCGTCGTTCATCTCACGACATGAAGGGATGATCTGAATCCCCTGTGGAGACCTGAGAGAAAGCCCTAGGTCCCTGCCTCATTTTGACGGAATGCCTCATATCCCGTTGACACGTCGAGAGGCACGCGGAGTTCACTGCTTCAAAAGGTGACGATGCCTGACTCCTCTTGAATACTGATAGGAATCCCAAAATCCCTGTGGCTACTGGAATGTGTCCTTTGGTGCCCTGCCTCACCTGGATTAGCTTCCCTTTTGCCCTGCCAAGCCTCGCAGAGATTCCTGAGGTGTCCCTCTTTACTAGACAGGAGTTCTGACGTCACTGAATAAACACGTGATTTGAAGGGCCATCCCTGCCGTAACTCAAGAACATACCCCAGGTCCCTGCCGCACCTCGAGAAAAAACATGAGACTTCCCCCTAGAGGTAAGATGAGGCACCATTCCCCTGCAGTGCATGGAGAGCTATTCCGTGATCCCCATCAAACAAGTCAGGACCTTCGACTTGCTTAACGGATCTCGAGACAGTCCCCAAGAACACTGTCACCAGTCTAGACCCACTCTGAGGTAAAGCCAGCAACGCAAAGCAGCTCCATGTGCCCCAATTCAACTCGAGATGAGGCCCGATTCCCCTGCATTGACTCCAGAGCCAGCCCCCGTTATCCATTCCACACGACCAGTGGCTTGACTTCCTTCAGCCAACTCCAGAGATGCCCCGAGAACAATGTCCCAAGTCTAGAGGAACACCAAATTCACCACAGCAACACGAGGATTGCTCCGTGTACCCCAAATTATCTCGAGATGAGAGCTGATTCCCTGGCTTAGGCTCAAGACGTATGCCAACCTTCCAGAAGCACCTCACGAAGAGGCTTCTCTCAGCAATAGGTATGTGGGAGGGACCCCGAGTTTGCTGCCTCAAGTGGAATATACAACGAGAAGCCCTAACTTGAAAGGAGGCCGTATTACCTTGCAGTGGCTTGAATACAGGCTCGTCTTTCATCTCACAACATGAAGGGATGTCTGAATCTCCTGTCGTGACCTGAGAGAAAGCCCTAGTTCCCTGCCTCATTTTGACGGAATGCCTCACATACCGTTGACTCCTTGGGATGCACACGGAGTTCACTGTTTTAAAAGGTGACGATGCCTGACTCCTCTTCAATACTGATAGGAATCCCAAAATCCCTGTGGCTACTGAAATGGGTCTTTGGTGCCCTGCCTCAGCTCGAGAAGCGTCCCTTTTACCCTGCCAAGCCTCGAAGAGATCCCTGAGGTGTCCCTCGTTACTAGACAGGAGTCCTGACGTCACTGAATAAAGACGTGTTTTGAAGGGCCATCCCCGCCGTAACTCGAGAACCTACCCCAGGTCCCCACCGCAACTCGAGAAAAACCACGAGACTTCCCCCTAGAAGCGAGATGAGGCCCCATTCCCCTGCAGTGCATGCAGAGCTATTCCGTGATCCCCATCAAACAAGTCAGGACTTCGACTTGCTTAACGGATCTCGAGACAGTCCCCAAGAACACTGTCACCAGTCTAGACGGACCCTGCAGTCACCCCAGCAACGCAAAGCAGCTCCGTGTGCCCCAAATCAACTCGAGATGAGGCCCGATTACACTGCATTGAATCCAGAGCCATCCCCTGTTCCACATTCAACACATCCAGTGGCTTGACTTCCTTCAGGCAACTCCAGAGATGCCAAGAGAACACTGTCGCAAGTCTAGAGGAACACCAACTTCAGCAGAGCAACTCGAGGAATGCTCCGTGTACCCCAAATCGTCTCGAGATGAGAGCTGATTCCCTGACTTAGGCTCAAGACGTATGCCACCCTTCCAGAAGCACCTCAGGAGGAGACTTCTCTCAGCAATAGGTATGTGGGAGGGACCCCGAGTTTGCTTCCTCAAGTGGAATAAATAGCGAGAAGCCCTAACTTGAAAGGAGGCCGGATTTCCTTGCAGTGGCTTGAATACAGGCTCGTCTTTCATCTCACAACATGAAGGCATGTCTGAATCCCCTGTGGAGACTTTAGCGAAAGCCCTAGGTCCCTGCCTCATTTTGACGGAATGCCTCACATCCCGTTGACACCTCGAGAGGCACGCGGAGTTCACTGCTTCAAAAGGTGACGATGCCTGACTCCTCTTGAATACTGATAGGAATCCCAAAATCCCTGTGGCTACTGAAATGTGTCTTTGGTGCCCTGCCTCAGCTCGAGAAGCATCCCTTTTGCCCTGCCAAGCCTCGAAGAGATTCCTGAGGTGTCCCTCGTTACTAGACAGGAGTCCTGACATCACTGAATAAACACGTGTTTTGAATGGCCATCCCCACCGTAACTTGAGAACATACCCCAGGTCCCCGCCGCAACTCGAGAAAAACCATGAGACTTCCCCCTAGAGGTGAGATGAGGCCCCATTCCCCTGCAGTGCATCCAGAGCTATTCCATGATCCCCATCAAACAAGTCAGGAGCTTCGACTTGCTTAATGGATCTCGAGACAGTCTCCAGGAACACTGTCACAAGTCTAGACGGACCCTCAGGTAACCCCAGCAACGCAAAGCAGCGCCATGTGCCCGAAATCAACGCGAGATGAGGCCCGATTCCCCTGCATTGACTCCAGAGCCATCCCCCGTTCCCCATTCAACACGACCAGTGGCTTGACTTCATTCAGGCAACTCCAGAGATGCCCCGAGAACACTGTCGCAAGTCCAGAGGAACACCAGCTTCAGCACAGCAACTCGAGGAATGCTCCGTGTACCCCAAATCGTCTCGAGATGAGAGCTGATTCCCTGGCTTAGGCTCAAGACGTATGCCACCCTTCCAGAAGCACCTCAAGAGGAGGCTTCTCTCAGCAATAGGTATGTGGGAGGGACCCCGAGTTTGCTGCCACAAGTGCAATATACAGCGAGAAGCCCTAACTTGAAATGAGGCCGGATTTCCTTGCAGTAGCTTGAATACAGGCTCGTCTTTCATCTCACTACATGAAGGGATGTCTGAATTCCCTGTCTTGACCTGAGAGAAAGCCCTAAGTCCCTGCCTCATTTTGACGGAATGCCTCACATCCTGTTGACACCTCGAGAGGCATGCGGGGTTCACTACTTCAAAAGGTGACGATGCCTGACTCCTCTTGAATACGGATAGGAATCCCAAAATCCCTGTTGCTACTGGAAAGTGTCCTTTGGTGCCCTGCCTCACCTGGATTAGTGTCCCTTTTGCCCTGCCAAGCCTCGAAGAGATTCCTGAGGTGTCCCTCGTTACTAGACAGGAGTTCTGACGTCACTGAATAAACACGTGATTTGAAGGGCCATCCCTGCCGTAACTCGAGAACATACCCCAGATCCCTGCCGCAACTCGAGAAAAACCATGAGACTTCCCCCTAGAGGCGAGATGAGGCCCCATTCCCGTGCAGTGCATGGAGACCTATTCCGTGATCCCCATCAAACAAGTCAGGAGCTTCGACTTGCTTAACGGATCTCGAGACAGAACCCAAGAACACTGTCACCAGTCTAGACCCACTCTGAGGTAAAGCCAGCAACGCAAAGCAGCTCCATGTGCCCCAATTCAACTCGAGATGAGGCCCGATTCCCCTGCATTGACTCCAGAGCCAGCCCCCGTTATCCATTCCACACGACCAGTGGCTTGACTTCCTTCAGCCAACTCCAGAGATGCCCCGAGAACAATGTCCCAAGTCTAGAGGAACACCAATTTCAGCACAGCAACACGAGGATTGCTCCGTGTACCCCAAATTATCTCGAGATGAGAGCTGATTCCCTGGCTTAGGCTCAAGACGTATGCCAACCTTCCAGAAGCACCTCACGAAGAGGCTTCTCTCAGCAATAGGTATGTGGGAGGGACCCCGAGTTTGCTGCCTCAAGTGGAATATACAACGAGAAGCCCTAACTTGAAAGGAGGCCGGATTACCTTGCAGTGGCTTGCATACGGGCTCGTCTTTCATCTCACAACATGAAGGGATGTCTGAATCCCCTGTCGAGACCTGAGAGAAAGCCCTAGTTCCCTGTCTCATTTTGACGGAATGCCTCATCCCGTTGACTCCTTGGGATGCACACGGAGTTCACTGCTTTAAAAGGTGACGATGCCTGACTCCTCTTCAATACTGATAGGAATCCCAAATCCCTGTGGCTACTGAAATGGGTCTTTGGTGCCCTGCCTCAGCTCGAGAAGCGTCTCTTTTACCCTGCCAAGCCTCGAAGAGATTCCTGAGGTGTCCCTCGTTACTAGACAGGAGTCCTGACGTCACTGAATAAAGACGTGTTTTGAAGGGCCATCCCCGCCGTAACTCGAGAACATACCCCAGGTCCCCACCGCAACTCGAGAAAAACCATGAGACTTCCCCCTAGAGGCGAGATGAGGCACCATTCCCCTGCAGTGCATGCAGAGCTATTCCGTGAATCCCCATCAAACAAGTCAGGACTTCGACTTGCTTAACGGATCTCGAGACAGTCCCCAAGAACCCTGTCACCAGTCTAGACGGACCCTGAGGTCACCCCAGCAACGCAAAGCAGCTCCGTGTGCCCCAAATCAACTCGAGATGAGGCCCGATCCCCCTGCAATGACTCCAGAGCCATCCCCTGTTCCCCATTCAACACATCCAGTGGCTTGACTTCCTTCAGGCAACTCCAGAGATGCCAAGAGAACACTGTCGCAAGTCTAGAGGAACACCAACTTCAGCAGAGCAACTCGAGGAATGCTCCGTGTACCCCAAATCGTCTCGAGATGAGAGCTGATTCCCTGACTTAGGCTCAAGACGTATGCCACCCTTCCAGAAGCACCTCAGGAGGAGACTTCTCTCAGCAATAGGTATGTGGGAGGGACCCCGAGTTTGCTTCCTCAAGTGGAATAAATAGCGAGAAGCCCTAACTTGAAAGGAGGCCGGATTTCCTTGCAGTGGCTTGAATACAGGCTCGTCTTTCATCTCAGAACATGAAGGCATGTCTGAATCCCCTGTGGAGACCTTAGCGAAAGCCCTACGTCCCTGCCTCATTTTGACGGAATGCCTCACATCCCGTTGACACCTCGAGAGGCACGCGGAGTTCACTGCTTCAAAAGGTGACGATGCCTGACTCCTCTTGAATACTGATCGGAATCCCAAAATCACTGTGGCTACTGGAAAGAGTCCTTGGTTGCCCTGCCTCACCTCGAGAAGCGTCCCTTTTGCCCTGTCAAGCCTCGAAGAGATTCCTGAGGTGTCCCTCCTTACTAGACAGAGGTTTTGACGTCACTGAATAAACACGTGATTTGAAGGGCCATCCCTGCCGTAACTCGAGAACATACCCCAGGCCCCGCCGCAACTCGAGAAAAACCATGAGACTTCCCCCTAGAGGCGAGATGAGGCACCATTACCCTGCAGTGCATGCAGAGCTATTCCGTGATCCCCATCAAACAAGTCAGGAGCTTCGACTTGCTTAATGGATCTCGAGACATTCCGCAAGAACACTGTAACCAGTCTAGACGGACACTGAGGTCACCACAGCAACACAAAGCTGGGCCGTGTGCCCCAAATCAACTCGAGATGAGGCCCGATTCCCCTGCATTGTCTCCAGAGCCATCCCCCATTCCCCATTCAACAAGACAAGTGGCTTGACTTATTTCAGGCAACTCCAGAGATGCCCCGAGAACACTGTCGCAAGTCTAGAGGAACACCAACTTCAGCACAGCAACTCGAGGAATGCACCGTGTACCCAAATTATATCGAGATGAAAGCTGATTCCCTGGCTCAGGCTCAAGACCTATGCCAACTTTCCAGAAGCACCTCAGGAGGAGGCTTCTCTCAGCAATAGGTATGTGGGAGGGACCCCGAGTTTGCTGCCACAAGTGGAATATACAGCGAGAAGCCCTAACTTGAAAGGAGGCCGGATTTCCTTGCAGTGGCTTGAATACAGGCTCGTCTTTCATCTCACAACATGAAGGGATGTCTGAATCCCCTGTGTTGACCTGAGAGAAAGCCCTAGGTCCCTGCCTCATTTTGACGGAATGCCTCACATCCCGTTGACACCTCGAGAGGCATGCGGAGTTCACTGCTTCAAAAGGTGACGATGCCTGATTCCTCTTGAATACTGATAGGAATCCCAAAATCCCTGTGGCTACTGAAATGTGTCTTTGGTGCCCTGCCTCAGCTCGAGAAGCATCCCTTTTGCCCTGCCAAGCCTCGAAGAGATTCCTGAGGTGTCCCTCCTTACTAGACAGGAGTCCTGGCGTCACTGAAGAAAGACGTGTTTTGAAGGGCCATCCCCGCCGAAACTCGAGAACATACCCCCGGTCCCCGCCGAACTCGAGAAAAACCATGAGACTTCCCCCTAGAGGCGAGATGAAGCCCCATTCCCCTGCAGCGCATGCAGAGCTATTCCGTAATCCCCATCAAAGAAGTCAGGAGCTTCGACTTGGTTAATGGATCTCGAGACAGTCCCCAAGAACACTTTCACAAGTCTAGACGGACCCTCAGGTAACGCCAGCAACGCAAAGCAGTGCCGTGTGCCTGAAATCAACGAGAGATGAAGCCCGATTCCCCTGCATTGACTCCAGAGCCATCCCCCGTTCCCCATTCAACACGACCAGTGGCTTGACTTCATTCAGGCAACTCCAGAGATGCCCCGAGAACACTGTCGCAAGTCCAGAGGAACCCCAGCTTCAGCACAGCACCTCGAGGAATGCTCCGTGTACCCCAAATCGTCTCGAGATGAGAGCTGATTCCCTGGCTTAGGCTCAAGACGTATGCCACCCTTCCAGAAGCACCTCAAGAGGAGGCTTCTCTCAGCAATAGGTATGTGGGAGGGACCCCGAATTTGCTGCCTCAAGTGGAATATACAGCGAGAAGCCCTAACTTGAAAGGAGGCCGGATTTCCTTGCAGTAGCTTGAATACAGGCTCGTCTTTCATCTCACTACATGAAGGGATGTCTGAATCCCCTGTCTTGACCTGAGAGAAAGCCCTAGGTCCCTGCCTCATTTTGACGGAATGCCTCACATCCCGTTGACACCTCGAGAGGCATGCGGAGTTCACTACTTCAAAAGGTGACGATGCCTGACTCCTCTTGAATACGGATAGGAATCCCAAAATCCCTGTTGCTACTGGAAAGTGTCCTTTGGTGCCCTGCCTCACCTGTATTAGTGTCCCTTTTGCCCTGCCAAGCCTCGAAGAGATTCCTGAGGTGTCCCTCGTTACTAGACAGGAGTTCTGACGTCACTGAATAAACACGTGATTTGAAGGGCCATCCCTGCCGTAACTCGAGAATATACCCCAGATCCCTGCCGCAACTCGAGAAAAACCATGAGACTTCCCCCTAGAGGCGAGATGAGGCCCCATTCCCCTGCAGTCCATGGAGAGCTATTCCGTGATCCCCATCAAACAAGTCAGGAGCTTCGACTTGCTTAACGGATCTCGAGACAGAACCCAAGAACACTGTCACCAGTCTAGACCCACTCTGAGGTAAAGCCAGCAACGCAAAGCAGCTCCATGTGCCCCAATTCAACTCGAGATGAGGCCCGATTCCCCTGCATTGACTCCAGAGCCAGCCCCCGTTATCCATTCCACACGACCAGTGGCTTGACTTCCTTCAGCCAACTCCAGAGATGCCCCGAGAACAATGTCCCAAGTCTAGAGGAACACCAATTTCAGCACAGCAACACGAGGATTGCTCCGTGTACCCCAAATTATCTCGAGATGAGAGCTGATTCCCTGGCTTAGGCTCAAGACGTATGCCAACCTTCCAGAAGCACCTCACGAAGAGGCTTCTCTCAGCAATAGGTATGTGGGAGGGACCCCGAGTTTGCTGCCTCAAGTGGAATATACAACGAGAAGCCCTAACTTGAAAGGAGGCCGGATTACCTTGCAGTGGCTTGCATACGGGCTCGTCTTTCATCTCACAACATGAAGGGATATCTGAATCCCCTGTCGAGACCTGAGAGAAAGCCCTAGTTCCCTGCCTCATTTTGACGGAATGCCTCATCCCGTTGACTCCTTGGGATGCACACGGAGTTCACTGCTTTAAAAGGTGACGATGCCTGACTCCTCTTCAATACTGATAGGAATCCCAAAATCCCTGTGGCTACTGAAATGGGTCTTTGGTGCCCTGCCTCAGCTCGAGAAGCGTCTCTTTTACCCTGCCAAGCCTCGAAGAGATTCCTGAGGTGTCCCTCGTTACTAGACAGGAGTCCTGACGTCACTGAATAAAGACGTGTTTTGAAGGGCCATCCCCGCCGTAACTCGAGAACATACCCCAGGTCCCCACCGCAACTCGAGAAAAACCATGAGACTTCCCCCTAGAGGCGAGATGAGGCACCATTCCCCTGCAGTGCATGCAGAGCTATTCCGTGAATCCCCATCAAACAAGTCAGGACTTCGACTTGCTTAACGGATCTCGAGACAGTCCCCAAGAACCCTGTCACCAGTCTAGACGGACCCTGAGGTCACCCCAGCAACGCAAAGCAGCTCCGTGTGCCCCAAATCAACTCGAGATGAGGCCCGATCCCCCTGCAATGACTCCAGAACCATCCCCTGTTCCCCATTCAACACATCCAGTGGCTTGACTTCCTTCAGGCAACTCCAGAGATGCCAAGAGAACACTGTCGCAAGTCTAGAGGAACACCAACTTCAGCAGAGCAACTCGAGGAATGCTCCGTGTACCCCAAATCGTCTCGAGATGAGAGCTGATTCCCTGACTTAGGCTCAAGACGTATGCCACCCTTCCAGAAGCACCTCAGGAGGAGACTTCTCTCAGCAATAGGTATGTGGGAGGGACCCCGAGTTTGCTTCCTCAAGTGGAATAAATAGCGAGAAGCCCTAACTTGAAAGGAGGCCGGATTTCCTTGCAGTGGCTTGAATACAGGCTCGTCTTTCATCTCAGAACATGAAGGCATGTCTGAATCCCCTGTGGAGACCTTAGCGAAAGCCCTACGTCCCTGCCTCATTTTGACGGAATGCCTCACATCCCGTTGACACCTCGAGAGGCACGCGGAGTTCACTGCTTCAAAAGGTGACGATGCCTGACTCCTCTTGAATACTGATCGGAATCCCAAAATCACTGTGGCTACTGGAAAGAGTCCTTGGTTGCCCTGCCTCACCTCGAGAAGCGTCCCTTTTGCCCTGTCAAGCCTCGAAGAGATTCCTGAGGTGTCCCTCCTTACTAGACAGAGGTTTTGACGTCACTGAATAAACACGTGATTTGAAGGGCCATCCCTGCCGTAACTCGAGAACATACCCCAGGCCCCGCCGCAACTCGAGAAAAACCATGAGACTTCCCCCTAGAGGCGAGATGAGGCACCATTCCCCTGCAGTGCATGCAGAGTTATTCCGTGATCCCCATCAAACAAGTCAGGAGCTTCGACTTGCTTAATGGATCTCGAGACATTCCGCAAGAACACTGTAACCAGTCTAGACGGACACTGAGGTCACCACAGCAACACAAACAGGGCCGTGTGCCCCAAATCAACTCGAGATGAGGCCCGATTCCCCTGCATTGTCTCCAGAGCCATCCCCCATTCCCCATTCAACAAGACAAGTGGCTTGACTTATTTCAGGCAACTCCAGAGATGCCCCGAGAACACTGTCGCAAGTCTAGAGGAACACCAACTTCAGCACAGCAACTCGAGGAATGCACCGTGTACCCAAATTATATCGAGATGAAAGCTGATTCCCTGGCTCAGGCTCAAGACCTATGCCAACTTTCCAGAAGCACCTCAGGAGGAGGCTTCTCTCAGCAATAGGTATGTGGGAGGGACCCCGAGTTTGCTGCCACAAGTGGAATATACAGCGAGAAGCCCTAACTTGAAAGGAGGCCGGATTTCCTTGCAGTGGCTTGAATACAGGCTCGTCTTTCATCTCACAACATGAAGGGATGTCTGAATCCCCTGTGTTGACCTGAGAGAAAGCCCTAGGTCCCTGCCTCATTTTGACGGAATGCCTCACATCGCGTTGACACCTCGAGAGGCATGCGGAGTTCACTGCTTCAAAAGGTGACGATGCCTGACTCCTCTTGAATACTGATAGGAATCCCAAAATCCCTGTGGCTACTGAAATGTGTCTTTGGTGCCCTGCCTCAGCTCGAGAAGCATCCCTTTTGCCCTGCCAAGCCTCGAAGAGATTCCTGAGGTGTCCCTCCTTACTAGACAGGAGTCCTGGCGTCACTGAATAAAGACGTGTTTTGAAGGGCCATCCCCGCCGAAACTCGAGAACATACCCCCGGTCCCCGCCGAACTCGAGAAAAACCATGAGACTTCCCCCTAGAGGCGAGATGAAGCCCCATTCCCCTGCAGCGCATGCAGAGCTATTCCGTAATCCCCATCAAAGAAGTCAGGAGCTTCGACTTGGTTAATGGATCTCGAGACAGTCCCCAAGAACACTTTCACAAGTCTAGACGGACCCTCAGGTAACGCCAGCAACGCAAAGCAGTGCCGTGTGCCTGAAATCAAGGAGAGATGAAGCCCGATTCCCCTGCATTGACTCCAGAGCCATCCCCCGTTCCCCGTTCAACACGACCAGTGGCTTGACTTCATTCAGGCAACTCCAGAGATGCCCCGAGAACACTGTCGCAAGTCCAGGGGAACACCAGCTTCAGCACAGCACCTCGAGGAATGCTCCGTGTACCCCAAATCGTCTCGAGATGAGAGCTGATTCCCTGGCTTAGGCTCAAGACGTATGCCACCCTTCCAGAAGCACCTCAAGAGGAGGCTTCTCTCAGCAATAGGTATGTGGGAGGGACCCCGAATTTGCTGCCTCAAGTGGAATATACAGCGAGAAGCCCTAACTTGAAAGGAGGCTGGATTTCCTTGCAGTGGCTTGAATATAGGCTCGTCTTTCATCTCACGACATGAAGGGATGATCTGAATCCCCTGTGGAGACCTGAGAGAAAGCCCTAGGTCCCTGCCTCATTTTGACGGAATGCCTCACATCCCGTTGACAAGTCGAGAGGCACGCGGAGTTCACTGCTTGAAAAGGTGACGATGCCTGACTCCTCTTGAATACGGATAGGAATCCCAAAATCCCTGTGGCTACTGGAAAGTGTCCTTTGGTGCCCTGCCTCACCTGGATTAGTGTCCCTTTTGCCCTGCCAAGCCTCGAAGAGATTCCTGAGGTGTCCCTCGTTACTAGACAGGAGTTCTGACGTCACTGAATAAACACGTGATTTGAAGGGCCATCCCTGCCGTAACTCGAGAACATACCCCAGATCCCTGCCGCAACTCGAGAAAAACCATGAGACTTCCCCCTAGAGGCGAGATGAGGCCCCATTCCCCTGCAGTGCATGGAGAGCTATTCCGTGATCCCCATCAAACAAGTCAGGAGCTTCGACTTGCTTAATGGATCTCAAGAGAGAACCCAAGAACACTGTCACCAGTCTAGACCCACTCTGAGGTCAAGCCAGCAACGCAAAGCAGCTCCATGTGCCCCAATTCAACTCGAGATGAGGCCCGATTCCCCTGCATTGACTCCAGAGCCAGCCCCCGTTATCCATTCCACACGACCAGTGGCTTGACTTCCTTCAGCCAACTCCAGAGATGCCCCGAGAACAATGTCCCAAGTCTAGAGGAACACCAACTTCAGCACAGCAACACGAGGATTGCTCCGTGTACCCCAAATTATCTCGAGATGAGAGCTGATTCCCTGGCTTAGGCTCAAGACGTATGCCAACCTTCCAGAAGCACCTCACGAAGAGGCTTCTCTCAGCAATAGGTATGTGGGAGGGACCCCGAGTTTGCTGCCTCAAGTGGAATATACAACGAGAAGCCCTAACTTGAAAGGAGGCCGGATTACCTTGCAGTGGCTTGAATACGGGCTGGTCTTTCATCTCACAACATGAAGGGATGTCTGAATCCCCTGTCGAGACCTGAGAGAAAGCCCTAGTTCCCTGCCTCATTTTGACGGAATGCCTCATCCCGTTGACTCCTTGGGATGCACACGGAGTTCACTGCTTTAAAAGGTGACGATGCCTGACTCCTCTTCAATACTGATAGGAATCCCAAAATCCCTGTGGCTACTGAAATGGGTCTTTGGTGCCCTGCCTCAGCTCGAGAAGCGTCTCTTTTACCCTGCCAAGCCTCGAAGAGATTCCTGAGGTGTCCCTCGTTACTAGACAGGAGTCCTGACGTCACTGAATAAACACGTGTTTTGAAGGGCCATCCCCGCCGTAACTCGAGAACATACCCCAGGTCCCCACCGCAACTCGAGAAAAACCATGAGACTTCCCCCTAGAGGCGAGATGAGGCACCATTCCCCTGCAGTGCATGCAGAGCTATTCCGTGATCCCCATCAAACAAGTCAGGAGCTTCGACTTGCTTAACGGATCTCGAGACAGTCCCCAAGAACACTGTCACCAGTCTAGACGGACCCTGAGGTCACCCCAGCAACGCAAAGCAGCTCCGTGTGCCCCAAATCAACTCGAGATGAGGCCCGATCCCCCTGCAATGACTCCAGAGCCATCCCCTGTTCCCCATTCAACACATCCAGTGGCTTTACTTCCTTCAGGCAACTCCAGAGATGCCAAGAGAACACTGTCGCAAGTCTAGAGGAACACCAACTTCAGCAGAGCAACTCGAGGAATGCTCCGTGTACCCCAAATCGTCTCGAGATGAGAGCTGATTCCCTGACTTAGGCTCAAGACGTATGCCACCCTTCCAGAAGCACCTCAGGAGGAGACTTCTCTCAGCAATAGGTATGTGGGAGGGACCCCGAGTTTGCTTCCTCAAGTGGAATAAATAGCGAGAAGCCCTAACTTGAAAGGAGGCCGGATTTCCTTTCAGTGGCTTGAATACAGGCTCGTCTTTCATCTCACAACATGAAGGCATGTCTGAATCCCCTGTGGAGACTTTAGCGAAAGCCCTAGGTCCCTGCCCCATTTTGACGGAATGCCTCACATCCCGTTGACACCTCGAGAGGCACGCGGAGTTCACTGCTTCAAAAGGTGACGATGCCTGACTCCTCTTGAATACTGATAGGAATCCCAAAATCCCTGTGGCTACTGAAATGTGTGTTTGGTGCCCTGCCTCAGCTCGAGAAGCATCCCTTTTGCCCTGCCAAGCCTCGAAGAGATTCCTGAGGTGTCCCTCGTTACTAGACAAGAGTCCTGACGTCACTGAATAAACACGTGTTTTGAAGGGCCATCCCCACCGTAACTTGAGAACATACCCCAGGTCCCCGCCGCAACTCGAGAAAAACCATGAGACTTCCCCCTAGAGGTGAGATGAGGCCCCATTCCCCTGCAGTGCATCCAGAGCTATTCCATGATCCCCATCAAACAAGTCAGGAGCTTCGACTTGCTTAATGGATCTCGAGACAGTCCCCAAGACCACTGTCACCAGTCTAGACGGACCCTGACGTCACCACAGCAACGCAAAGCACCGCCGTGTGCCACAAATCAACTCGAGATGAGGCCCGATTCCCCTGCATGGACTCCAGAGCCATCCCCCATTCCCCATTCAACAAGACCAGTGGCTTGACTTCCTTCAGGCAACTCCAGAGATGCCCCGAGAACACTGTCGCAAGTCTAGAGGAACACCAACTTCAGCACAGCAACTCGAGGAATGCTCCGTGTACCCAAATCATCTCGAGATGAGAGCTGATTCCCTGGCTTATTTTCAAGACATATGCCAACCTTCCAGAAGCACCTCAAGAGGAGGCTTCTCTCAGCAATAGGTATGTGGGAGGGACCCCGAGTTTGCTGCCTCAAGTGGAATATACAGTGAGAAGCCCTAACTTGAAAGGAGGCCGGATTTACTTGCAGTGGCTTGAATATAGGCTCGTCTTTCATCTCACGACATGAAGGGATGATCTGAATCCCCTGTGGAGACCTGAGAGAAAGCCCTAGGTCCCTGCCTCATTTTGACGGAATGCCTCACATCCCGTGGACACCTCGAGAGGCATGCGGAGTCACTGCTTCAAAAGGTGACGATGCCTGACTCCTCTTGAATACTGATAGGAATCCCAAAATCCCTGTGGCTACTGGAAAGTGTCCTTTGGTGCCCTGCCTCACCTGGATTAGCATCCCTTTTGCCCTGCCAAGCCTCGAAGAGATTCCTGATGGGTCCCTCGTTACTAGACAGGAGTTCTGACGTCACTGAATAAACACGTGATTTGAAGGGCCATCCCTGCCGTAACTGGAAAACATACCCCAGGTCCCTGCCGCAACTCGAGAAAAACCATGAGACTTCCCCCAAGAGGTGAGATGAGGCCCCATTCCCCTGCAGTGCATGCAGAGCTATTCCGTGATCCCCATCAAACAAGTCAGGAGCTTCGACTTGCTTAACGGATCTCGAGACAGTCCCCAAGAACACTGTCACCAGTCTAGACCCACTCTGAAGTCAAGCCAGCAACGCAAAGCAGCTCCATGTGCCCCAAATTAACTCGAGATGAGGCCCCATTCCCCTGCAGTGCATGCAGAGCTATTCCGTGATCCCCATCAAACAAGTCAGGAGCTTCGACTTGCTTAACGGATCTCGAGAAAGTCCCCAAGGACACTGTCACCAGTCCAGACGGACCCTGAGGTCACTCCAGCAAAGCAAAGCAGCTCCATGTGCCCCAAATCAACTCGAGATGAGGCCCGATTCCCCTGCATTGACTCCAGAGCCATCCCCCGTTATCCATTCAACACGACCAGTGGCTTGACTTCCTTCAGCCAACTCCAGAGATGCCCCGAGAACACTGTCGCAAGTCCAGAGGAACACCCACTTCAGCACAGCAACTCGAGGAATGCTCCGTGTACCCCAAATCGTCTCGAGATGAGAGCTGATTCTCTGGCTCAGGCTCAAGACGTATGGCATCCATCCAAAAGCACCTCACGAAGAGGTTTCTCTCAGCAATAGGTATGTGGGAGGGACCCCGAGTTTGGTGCCTCAAGTGGAATATACAGCGAGAAGCCCTAACTTGAAAGGAGGCCGGATTTCCTTGCAGTGGCTTGAATACAGGCTCGTCTTTCATCTCACAACATGAAGGGATGTCTGAATCCCCTGTGGAGACCTGAGAGAAAGCCCTAGTTCCCTGCCTCATTTTGACGGAATGCCTCACATCCGGTTGACACCTCGGGAGGCACACGGAGTTGACTGCTTTATAAGGTGACGATGCCTGACTCCTCTTCAATACTGATAGGAATCCCAAAATCCCTGTTGCTACTGAAATGGGTCTTTGGTGCCCTGCCTCAGCTCGAGAAGCGTCCCTTTTACCCTGCCAAGCCTCGAAGAGATTCCTGAGGTGTCCCTCGTTACTAGACAGGAGTCCTGACGTCACTGAATAAAGACGTGTTTTGAAGGGCCATCCCCGCCGTAACTCGAGAACATACCCCAGGTCCCCACCGCAACTCGAGAAAAACTATGAGACTTCCCCCTAGAGGCGAGATGAGGCCCCATTCCCCTGCAGTGCATGCAGAGCTATTCCGTAATCCCCATCAAAGAAGTCAGGAGCTTCGACTTGGTTAATGGATCTCGAGACAGTCCCCAAGAACACTTTCACAAGTCTAAACGGACCCTCAGGTAACGCCAGCAACGCAAAGCAGTGCCGTGTGCCTGAAATCAACGAGAGATGAAGCCCGATTCCCCTGCATTGACTCCAGAGCCATCCCCCGTTCCCCATTCAACACGACCAGTGGCTTGACTTCATTCAGGCAACTCCAGAGATGCCCCGAGAACACTGTCGCAAGTCCAGAGGAACACCAGCTTCAGCACAGCAACTCGAGGAATGCTCCGTGTACCCCAAATCGTCTCGAGATGAGAGCTGATTCTCTGGCTCAGGCTCAAGACGTATGGCATCCATCCAAAAGCACCTCACGAAGAGGCTTCTCTCAGCAATAGGTATGTGGGAGGGACCCCGAGTTTGCTGCCTCAAGTGGAATATACAGCGAGAAGCCCTAACTTGAAAGGAGGCCGGATTTCCTTGCAGTGGCTTGAATACAGGCTCGTCTTTCATCTCACAACATGAAGGGATGTCTGAATCCCCTGTGGAGACCTGAGAGAAAGCCCTAGTTCCCTGCCTCATTTTGACGGAATGCCTCACATCCCGTTGACACCTCGGGAGGCACACGGAGTTGACTGCTTTATAAGGTGACGATGCCTGACTCCTCTTCAATACTGATAGGAATCCCAAAATCCCTGTGGCTACTGAAATGGGTCTTTGGTGCCCTGCCTCAGCTCGAGAAGCGTCCCTTTTACCCTGCCAAGCCTCGAAGAGATTCCTGAGGTGTCCCTCGTTACTAGACAGGAGTCCTGACGTCACTGAATAAAGACGTGTTTTGAAGGGCCATCCCCGCCGTAACTCGAGAACATACCCCAGGTCCCCACCGCAACTCGAGAAAAACTATGAGACTTCCCCCTAGAGGCGAGATGAGGCCCCATTCCCCTGCAGTGCATGCAGAGCTATTCCGTAATCCCCATCAAAGAAGTCAGGAGCTTCGACTTGGTTAATGGATCTCGAGACAGTCCCCAAGAACACTTTCACAAGTCTAAACGGACCCTCAGGTAACGCCAGCAACGCAAAGCAGTGCCGTGTGCCTGAAATCAACGAGAGATGAAGCCCGATTCCCCTGCATTGACTCCAGAGCCATCCCCCGTTCCCCATTCAACACGACCAGTGGCTTGACTTCATTCAGGCAACTCCAGAGATGCCCCGAGAACACTGTCGCAAGTCCAGAGGAACACCAGCTTCAGCACAGCAACTCGAGGAATGCTCCGTGTACCCCAAATCGTCTCGAGATGAGAGCTGATTCCCTGGATTAGGCTCAAGACGTATGCCACCCTTCCAGAAGCACCTCAAGAGGAGGCTTCTCTCAGCAATAGGTATGTGGGAAGGACCCCGAGTTTGTTGCCACAAGTGAAATATACAGCGAGAAGCCCTAACTTGAAAGGAGGCCGGATTTCCTTGCAGTAGCTTGAATACAGGTTCGTCTTTCATCTCACTACATGAAGGGATGTCTGAATCCCCTGTCTTGACCTGAGAGAAAGCCCTAGGTCCCTGCCTCATTTTGACGGAATGCCTCACATCCCGTTGACACCTCGAGAGGCATGCGGAGTTCACTACTTCAAAAGGTGACGATGCCTGACTCCTCTTGAATACGGATAGGAATCCCAAAATCCCTGTGGCTACTGAAATGTGTCTTTGGTGCCCTGGCTCAGCTCGAGAAGCGTCCCTTTTGCCCTGCCGAGCCTCGAAGAGGTTCCTGAGGTGTCCCTCATTACTAGACAGGAGTCCTGACGTCACTGAATAAACACGTGTTTTGAAGGGCCATCCCTGCCGTAACTTGAGAACATACCCCAGGTCCCCGCCGCAACTCGAGAAAAACCATGAGACTTCCCCCTAGAGGTGATATGAGGCCCCATTCCCCTGCAGTGCATCCAGAGCTATTCCGTGATCCCCATCAAACAAGTCAGGAGCTTCGACTTGCTTAATGGACCTCGAGACAGTCCCCAAAAACACTGTCACCAGACTAGATGGACCCTGAGGTCACCTCAGGAAGGCAAAGCAGGGCCGTATGCCCCAAATAAACTCGAGATGAGGCCCGATTCCACTGCATTGACTCCAGAGCCATCCCCCGTTCCCCATTCAAAATGACCAGGGGCTTGACTTCCTTCAGGCAACTCCAGAGATGCCCCGAGAACACTGTCGCAAGTCTAGAGGAACACCAACTTCAGCACAGCAACTCGAGGAATGCTCCGTGTACCCAAATCATCTCGAGATGAGAGCTGATTCCCTGGCTTATTTTCAAGACATATGCCAACCTTCCAGAAGCACCTCAAGAGGAGGCTTCTCTCAGCAATAGGTATGTGGGAGGGACCCCGAGTTTGCTGCCTCAAGTGGAATATACAGCGAGAAGCCCTAACTTGAAAGGAGGCCTGATTTCCTTGCAGTGGCTTGAATATAGGCTCGTCTTTCATCTCACGACATGAAGGGATGATCTGAATCCCCTGTGGAGACCTGAGAGAAAGCCCTAGGTCCCTGCCTCATTTTGACGGAATGCCTCACATCCCGTTGACAAGTCGAGAGGCACGCGGAGTTCACTGCTTGAAAAGGTGACGATGCCTGACTCCTCTTGAATACTGATAGGAATCCCAAAATCCCTGTGGCTACTGGAAAGTGTCCTTTGGTGCCCTGCCTCACCTGGATTAGTGTCCCTTTTGCCCTGCCAAGCCTCGAAGAGATTCCTGAGGTGTCCCTCGTTACTAGACAGGAGTTCTGACGTCACTGAATAAACACGTGATTTGAAGGGTTATCCCAGCCGTAACTCGAGAACATACCCCAGGTCCCCGCCGCAACTCAGGAAAAACCATGAGACTTCCCCCTAGAGGCGAGATGAGGTCCCATTCCCCTGCAGTGCATGCAGAGCAATTCCGTGATCCCCATCAAACAAGTCAGGAGCTTCGACTTGCTTAATGGATCTCGAGAGAGTCCCCAAGAACACTGTCACCAGTCTAGAGGGACCCTGAGGTCAGCACAGCAACGCAAAGCAGTGCCGTGTCCCCCAAATCAACTCGAGATGAGGCCCGATTCCCCTGCATTGACACCAGAGCCATCCCCTGTTCCCCATTCAACAAGACCAGTGGCTTGACTTCCTTCAGGCAACTCCAGAGATGCCCCGAGAACACTGTCGCAAGTCCAGAGGAACACCAGCTTCAGCACAGCAACTCGAGGAATGCTCCGTCTACCCCAAATCGTCTCGAGATGAGAGCTGATTCCCTGGCTTAGGCTCAAGACGTATGCCACCCTTCCAGAAGCACCTCAAGAGGAGGCTTCTCTCAGCAATAGGTATGTGGGAGGGACCCCGAGTTTGCTGCCACAAGTGAAATATACAGCGAGAAGCCCTAACTTGAAAGGAGGCCGGATTTCCTTGCAGTAGCTTGAATACAGGCTCGTCTTTCATCTCACTACATGAAGGGATGTCTGAATCCCCTGTCTTGACCTGAGAGAAAGCCCTAGGTCCCTGCCTCATTTTGACGGAATGCCTCACATCCCGTTGACACCTCGAGAGGCATGCGGAGTTCACTACTTCAAAAGGTGACGATGCCTGACTCCTCTTGAATACGGATAGGAATCCCAAAATCCCTGTGGCTACTGAAATGTGTCTTTGGTGCCCTGGCTCAGCTCGAGAAGCGTCCCTTTTGCCCTGCCGAGCCTCGAAGAGGTTCCTGAGGTGTCCCTCGTTACTAGACAGGAGTCCTGACGTCACTGAATAAACACGTGTTTTGAAGGGCCATCCCTGCCGTAACTTGAGAACATACCCCAGGTCCCCGCCGCAACTCGAGAAAAACCATGAGACTTCCCCCTAGAGGTGATATGAGGCCCCATTCCCCTGCAGTGCATCCAGAGCTATTCCGTGATCCCCATCAAACAAGTCAGGAGCTTCGACTTGCTTAATGGACCTCGAGACAGTCCCCAAAAACACTGTCACCAGACTAGATGGACCCTGAGGTCACCCCAGGAAGGCAAAGCAGGGCCGTATGCCCCAAATAAACTCGAGATGAGGCCCGATTCCACTGCATTGACTCCAGAGCCATCCCCCGTTCCCCATTCAAAATGACCAGTGGCTTGACTTCCTTCAGGCAACTCCAGAGATGCCCCGAGAACACTGTCGCAAGTCTAGAGGAACACCAACTTCAGCACAGCAACTCGAGGAATGCTCCGTGTACCCCAAATCGTCTCGAGATGAGAGCTGATTCCCTGACTTAGGCTCAAGACATATGCCAAACTTCCAGAAGCACCTCAGGAGGAGGCTTCTCTCAGCAATAGGTATGTGGGAGGGACCCCGAGTGTGCTGGTCAAGTGGAATATATAGCGAGAAGCCCTAACTTGAAAGGAGGCAGGATTTCCTTGCAGTGGCTTGAATACAGGCTCGTCTTTCATCTCACAACATGAAGGGATGTCTGAATCCCCTGTGGAGACCTTAGCGAAAGCCCTAGTTCCCTGCCTCATTTTGACGGAATGCCTCACATCCCGTTGACACGTCGAGAGGCACGCGGAGTTCACTGCTTCAAAAGGTGATGATGCCTGACTCCTCTTGAATACTGATAGGAATCCCAAAATCACTGTGGCTATGGGAAAGAGTCCTTGGGTGCCCTGCCTCACCTCGAGAAGCGTCCCTTTTGCCCTGTCAAGCCTCGAAGAGATTCCTGAGGTGTCCCTCGTTACTAGACAGGGGATTTGACGTCACTGAATAAACACGTGATTTGAAGGGCCATCCCTGACGTAACTCGAGAACATACCCCAGGTCCCCGCCGCAACTCGAGAAAAACCATGAGACTTCCCCCTAGAGGCGAGATGAGGCCCCATTCCCATGCAGTGCATGCAGAACTATTCCGTGATACCCATCAAACAAGTCAGGAGCTTCGACTTGCTTAATGGATCTCGAGACAGTCCCCAAGACCACTGTCACCAGTCTAGACGGCCCTGACGTCACCACAGCAACGCAAAGCACCGCCGTGTGCCACAAATCAACTCGAGATGAGGCCCGATTCCCCTGCATGGACTCCAGAGCCATCCCCCATTCCCCATTCAACAAGACCAGTGGCTTGACTTCCTTCAGGCAACTCCAGAGATGCCCCGAGAACACTGTCGCAAGTCTAGAGGAACACCAACTTCAGCACAGCAACTCGAGGAATGCTCCGTGTACCCAAATCATCTCGAGATGAGAGCTGATTCCCTGGCTTATTTTCAAGACATATGCCAACCTTCCAGAAGCACCTCAAGAGGAGGCTTCTCTCAGCAATAGGTATGTGGGAGGGACCCCGAGTTTGCTGCCTCAAGTGGAATATACAGCGAGAAGCCCTAACTTGAAAGGAGGCCGGATTTCCTTGCAGTGGCTTGAATATAGGCTCGTCTTTCATCTCACGACATGAAGGGATGATCTGAATCCCCTGTGGAGACCTGAGAGAAAGCCCTAGGTCCCTGCCTCATTTTGACGGAATGCCTCACATCCCGTTGACAAGTCGAGAGGCACGCGGAGTTCACTGCTTGAAAAGGTGACGATGCCTGACTCCTCTTGAATACTGATAGGAATCCCAAAATCCCTGTGGCTACTGGAAAGTGTCCTTTGGTGCCCTGCCTCACCTGGATTAGTGTCCCTTTTGCCCTGCCAAGCCTCGAAGAGATTCCTGAGGTGTCCCTCGTTACTAGACAGGAGTTCTGACGTCACTGAATAAACACGTGATTTGAAGGGTTATCCCAGCCGTAACTCGAGAACATACCCCAGGTCCCCGCCGCAACTCAGGAAAAACCATGAGACTTCCCCCTAGAGGCGAGATGAGGTCCCATTCCCCTGCAGTGCATGCAGAGCTATTCCGTGATCCCCATCAAACAAGTCAGGAGCTTCGACTTGCTTAATGGATCTCGAGAGAGTCCCCAAGAACACTGTCACCAGTCTAGAGGGACCCTGAGGTCAGCACAGCAACGCAAAGCAGTGCCGTGTCCCCCAAATCAACTCGAGATGAGGCCCGATTCCCCTGCATTGACACCAGAGCCATCCCCTGTTCCCCATTCAACAAGACCAGTGGCTTGACTTCCTTCAGGCAACTCCAGAGATGCCCCGAGAACACTGTCGCAAGTCCAGAGGAACACCAGCTTCAGCACAGCAACTCGAGGAATGCTCCGTGTACCCCAAATCGTCTCGAGATGAGAGCTGATTCCCTGGCTTAGGCTCAAGACGTATGCCACCCTTCCAGAAGCACCTCAAGAGGAGGCTTCTCTCAGCAATAGGTATGTGGGAGGGACCCCGAGTTTGCTGCCACAAGTGAAATATACAGCGAGAAGCCCTAACTTGAAAGGAGGCCGGATTTCCTTGCAGTAGCTTGAATACAGGCTCGTCTTTCATCTCACTACATGAAGGGATGTCTGAATCCCCTGTCTTGACCTGAGAGAAAGCCCTAGGTCCCTGCCTCATTTTGACGGAATGCCTCACATCCCGTTGACACCTCGAGAGGCATGCGGAGTTCACTACTTCAAAAGGTGACGATGCCTGACTCCTCTTGAATACGGATAGGAATCCCAAAATCCCTGTGGCTACTGTAATGTGTCTTTGGTGCCCTGGCTCAGCTCGAGAAGCGTGCCTTTTGCCCTGCCGAGCCTCGAAGAGGTTCCTGAGGTGTCCCTCGTTACTAGACAGGAGTCCTGACGTCACTGAATAAACACGTGTTTTGAAGGGCCATCCCTGCCGTAACTTGAGAACATAAACCCAGGTCCCCGCCGCAACTCGAGAAAAACCATGAGACTTCCCCCTAGAGGTGATATGAGGCCCCATTCCCCTGCAGTGCATCCAGAGCTATTCCGTGATCCCCATCAAACAAGTCAGGAGCTTCGACTTGCTTAATGGATCTCGAGAGAGTCCCCAAGAACACTGTCACCAGTCTACAGGGACCCTGAGGTCAGCACAACAACGCAAAGCAGTGCCGTGTCCCCCAAATCAACTCGAGATGAGGCCCGATTCCCCTGCATTGACACCAGAGCCATCCCCTGTTCCCCATTCAACAAGACCAGTGGCTTGACTTCCTTCAGGCAACTCCAGAGATGCCCCGAGAACACTGTCGCAAGTCCAGAGGAACACCAGCTTCAGCACAGCAACTCGAGGAATGCTCCGTGTACCCCAAATCGTCTCGAGATGAGAGCTGATTCCCTGGCTTAGGCTCAAGACGTATGCCACCCTTCCAGAAGCACCTCAAGAGGAGGCTTCTCTCAGCAATAGGTATGTGGGAGGGACCCCGAGTTTGCTGCCACAAGTGAAATATACAGCGAGAAGCCCTAACTTGAAAGGAGGCCGGATTTCCTTGCAGTAGCTTGAATACAGGCTCGTCTTTCATCTCACTACATGAAGGGATGTCTGAATCCCCTGTCTTGACCTGAGAGAAAGCCCTAGGTCCCTGCCTCATTTTGACGGAATGCCTCACATCCCGTTGACACCTCGAGAGGCATGCGGAGTTCACTACTTCAAAAGGTGAGGATGCCTGACTCCTCTTGAATACGGATAGGAATCCCAAAATCCCTGTGGCTACTGAAATGTGTCTTTGGTGCCCTGGCTCAGCTCGAGAAGCGTCCCTTTTGCCCTGCCGAGCCTCGAAGAGGTTCCTGAGGTGTCCCTCGTTACTAGACAGGAGTCCTGACGTCACTGAATAAACACGTGTTTTGAAGGGCCATCCCTGCCGTAACTTGAGAACATACCCCAGGTCCCCGCCGCAACTCGAGAAAAACCATGAGACTTCCCCCTAGAGGTGATATGAGGCCCCATTCCCCTGCAGTGCATCCAGAGCTATTCCGTGATCCCCATCAAACAAGTCAGGAGCTTCGACTTGCTTAATGGACCTCGAGACAGTCCCCAAAAACACTGTCACCAGACTAGATGGACCCTGAGGTCACCCCAGGAAGGCAAAGCAGGGCCGTATGCCCCAAATAAACTCGAGATGAGGCCCGATTCCACTGCATTGACTCCAGAGCCATCCCCCGTTCCCCATTCAAAATGACCAGTGGCTTGACTTCCTTCAGGCAACTCCAGAGATGCCCCGAGAACACTGTCGCAAGTCTAGAGGAACACCAACTTCAGCACAGCAACTCGAGGAATGCTCCGTGTACCCCAAATCGTCTCGAGATGAGAGCTGATTCCCTGACTTAGGCTCAAGACATATGCCAAACTTCCAGAAGCACCTCAGGAGGAGGCTTCTCTCAGCAATAGGTATGTGGGAGGGACCCCGAGTGTGCTGGTCAAGTGGAATATATAGCGAGAAGCCCTAACTTGAAAGGAGGCAGGATTTCCTTGCAGTGGCTTGAATACAGGCTCGTCTTTCATCTCACAACATGAAGGGATGTCTGAATCCCCTGTGGAGACCTTAGCGAAAGCCCTAGTTCCCTGCCTCATTTTGACGGAATGCCTCACATCCCGTTGACACCTCGAGAGGCACGCGGAGTTCACTGCTTCAAAAGCTGATGATGCCTGACTCCTCTTGAATACTGATAGGAATCCCAAAATCACTGTGGCTACGGGAAAGAGTCCTTGGGTGCCCTGCCTCACCTCGAGAAGCGTCCCTTTTGCCCTGTCAAGCCTCGAAGAGATTCCTGAGGTGTCCCTCGTTACTAGACAGGGAATTTGACGTCACTGAATAAACACGTGATTTGAAGGGCCATCCCTGACGTAACTCGAGAACATACCCCAGGTCCCCGCCGCAACTCGAGAAAAACCATGAGACTTCCCCCTAGAGGCGAGATGAGGCCCCATTCCCATGCAGTGCATGCAGAACTATTCCGTGATACCCATCAAACAAGTCAGGAGCTTCGACTTGCTTAATGGATCTCGAGACAGTCCCCAAGACCACTGTCACCAGTCTAGACGGCCCTGACGTCACCACAGCAACGCAAAGCACCACCGTGTGCCACAAATCAACTCGAGATGAGGCCCGATTCCCCTGCATGGACTCCAGAGCCATCCCCCATTCCCCATTCAACAAGACCAGTGGCTTGACTTCCTTCAGGCAACTCCAGAGATGCCCCGAGAACACTGTCGCAAGTCTAGAGGAACACCAACTTCAGCACAGCAACTCGAGGAATGCTCCGTGTACCCAAATCATCTCGAGATGAGAGCTGATTCCCTGGCTTATTTTCAAGACATATGCCAACCTTCCAGAAGCACCTCAAGAGGAGGCTTCTCTCAGCAATAGGTATGTGGGAGGGACCCCGAGTTTGCTGCCTCAAGTGGAATATACAGCGAGAAGACCTAACTTGAAAGGAGGCCGGATTTCCTTGCAGTGGCTTGAATATAGGCTCGTCTTTCATCTCACGACATGAAGGGATGATCTGAATCCCCTGTGGAGACCTGAGAGAAAGCCCTAGGTCCCTGCCTCATTTTGACGGAATGCCTCACATCCCGTTGACAAGTCGAGAGGCACGCGGAGTTCACTGCTTGAAAAGGTGACGATGCCTGACTCCTCTTGAATACTGATAGGAATCCCAAAATCCCTGTGGCTACTGGAAAGTGTCCTTTGGTGCCCTGCCTCACCTGGATTAGTGTCCCTTTTGCCCTGCCAAGCCTCGAAGAGATTCCTGAGGTGTCCCTCGTTACTAGACAGGAGTTCTGACGTCACTGAATAAACACGTGATTTGAAGGGTTATCCCAGCCGTAACTCGAGAACATACCCCAGGTCCCCGCCGCAACTCAGGAAAAACCATGAGACTTCACCCTAGAGGCGAGATGAGGTCCCATTCCCCTGCAGTGCATGCAGAGCTATTCCGTGATCCCCATCAAACAAGTCAGGAGCTTCGACTTGCTTAATGGATCTCGAGAGAGTCCCCAAGAACACTGTCACCAGTCTAGAGGGACCCTGAGGTCAGCACAGCAACGCAAAGCAGTGCCGTGTCCCCCAAATCAACTCGAGATGAGGCCCGATTCCCCTGCATTGACACCAGAGCCATCCCCTGTTCCCCATTCAACAAGACCAGTGGCTTGACTTCCTTCAGGCAACTCCAGAGATGCCCCGAGAACACTGTCGCAAGTCCAGAGGAACACCAGCTTCAGCACAGCAACTCGAGGAATGCTCCGTGTACCCCAAATCGTCTCGAGATGAGAGCTGATTCCCTGGCTTAGGCTCAAGACGTATGCCACCCTTCCAGAAGCACCTCAAGAGGAGGCTTTTCTCAGCAATAGGTATGTGGGAGGGACCCCGAGTTTGCTGCCACAAGTGAAATATACAGCGAGAAGCCCTAACTTGAAAGGAGGCCGGATTTCCTTGCAGTAGCTTGAATACAGGCTCGTCTTTCATCTCACTACATGAAGGGATGTCTGAATCCCCTGTCTTGACCTGAGAGAAAGCCCTAGGTCCCTGCCTCATTTTGACGGAATGCCTCACATCCCGTTGACACCTCGAGAGGCATGCGGAGTTCACTACTTCAAAAGGTGACGATGCCTGACTCCTCTTGAATACGGATAGGAATCCCAAAATCCCTGTGGCTACTGAAATGTGTCTTTGGTGCCCTGGCTCAGCTCGAGAAGCGTCCCTTTTGCCCTGCCGAGCCTCGAAGAGGTTCCTGAGGTGTCCCTCGTTACTAGACAGGAGTCCTGACGTCACTGAATAAACACGTGTTTTGAAGGGCCATCCCTGCCGTAACTTGAGAACATACCCCAGGTCCCCGCCGCAACTCGAGAAAAACCATGAGACTTCCCCCTAGAGGTGATATGAGGCCCCATTCCCCTGCAGTGCATCCAGAGCTATTCCGTGATCCCCATCAAACAAGTCAGGAGCTTCGACTTGCTTAATGGACCTCGAGACAGTCCCCAAAAACACTGTCACCAGACTAGATGGACCCTGAGGTCACCCCAGGAAGGCAAAGCAGGGCCGTATGCCCCAAATAAACTCGAGATGAGGCCCGATTCCACTGCATTGACTCCAGAGCCATCCCCCGTTCCCCATTCAAAATGACCAGTGGCTTGACTTCCTTCAGGCAACTCCAGAGATGCCCCGAGAACACTGTCGCAAGTCTAGAGGAACACCAACTTCAGCACAGCAACTCGAGGAATGCTCCGTGTACCCCAAATCGTCTCGAGATGAGAGCTGATTCCCTGACTTAGGCTCAAGACATATGCCAAACTTCCAGAAGCACCTCAGGAGGAGGCTTCTCTCAGCAATAGGTATGTGGGAGGGACCCCGAGTGTGCTGGTCAAGTGGAATATATAGCGAGAAGCCCTAACTTGAAAGGAGGCAGGATTTCCTTGCAGTGGCTTGAATACAGGCTCGTCTTTCATCTCACAACATGAAGGGATGTCTGAATCCCCTGTGGAGACCTTAGCGAAAGCCCTAGTTCCCTGCCTCATTTTGACGGAATGCCTCACATCCCGTTGACACCTCGAGAGGCACGCGGAGTTCACTGCTTCAAAAGGTGATGATGCCTGACTCCTCTTGAATACTGATAGGAATCCCAAAATCACTGTGGCTACGGGAAAGAGTCCTTGGGTGCCCTGCCTCACCTCGAGAAGCGTCCCTTTTGCCCTGTCAAGCCTCGAAGAGATTCCTGAGGTGTCCCTCGTTACTAGACAGGGGATTTGACGTCACTGAATAAACACGTGATTTGAAGGGCCATCCCTGACGTAACTCGAGAACATACCCCAGGTCCCCGCCGCAACTCGAGAAAAACCATGAGACTTCCCCCTAGAGGCGAGATGAGGCCCCATTCCCATGCAGTGCGTGCAGAACTATTCCGTGATACCCATCAAACAAGTCAGGAGCTTCGACTTGCTTAATGGATCTCGAGACAGTCCCCAAGACCACTGTCACCAGTCTAGACGGCCCTGACGTCACCACAGCAACGCAAAGCACCGCCGTGTGCCACAAATCAACTCGAGATGAGGCCCGATTCCCCTGCATGGACTCCAGAGCCATCCCCCATTCCCCATTCAACAAGACCAGTGGCTTGACTTCCTTCAGGCAACTCCAGAGATGCCCCGAGAACACTGTCGCAAGTCTAGAGGAACACCAACTTCAGCACAGCAACTCGAGGAATGCTCCGTGTACCCAAATCATCTCGAGATGAGAGCTGATTCCCTGGCTTATTTTCAAGACATATGCCAACCTTCCAGAAGCACCTCAAGAGGAGGCTTCTCTCAGCAATAGGTATGTGGGAGGGACCCCGAGTTTGCTGCCTTAAGTGGAATATACAGCGAGAAGCCCTAACTTGAAAGGAGGCCGGATTTCCTTGCAGTGGCTTGAATATAGGCTCGTCTTTCATCTCACAACATGAAGGGATGTCTCAATCCGCTGTGTTGACCTGAGAGAAAGCCCTAGGTCCCTGCCTCATTTTGACGGAATGCCTCACATCCCGTTGACACCTCGAGAGGCATGCGGAGTTCACTGCTTCAAAAGGTGACGATGCCTGACTCCTCTTGAATACTGATAGGAATCCCAAAATCCCTGTGGCTACTGAAATGTGTCTTTGGTGCCCTGCCTCAGCTCGAGAAGCATCCCTTTTGCCCTGCCAAGCCTCGAAGAGATTCCTGAGGTGTCCCTCGTTACTAGACAGGAGTCCTGACGTCACTGAATAAACACGTGTTTTGAAGGGCCATCCCCACCGTAACTTGAGAACATACCCCAGGTCCCCGCCGCAACTCGAGAAAAACCATGAGACTTCCCCCTAGAGGTGAGATGAGGCCCCATTCCCCTGCAGTGCATCCAGAGCTATTCCGTGATCCCCATCAAACAAGTCAGGAGCTTCGACTTGCTTAATGGATCTCGAGAGAGTCCCCAGGAACACTGTCACAAGTCTAGACGGACCCTCAGGTAACCCCAGCAACGCAAAGCAGCGCCATGTGCCCGAAATCAACGCAAGATGAGGCCCTATTCCCCTGCATTGACTCCAGAGCCATCCCCCGTTCCCCATGCAACACGACCAGTGGCTTGACTTCCTTCAGGCAACTCCAGAGATGCCCCGAGAACACTGTCGCAAGTCTAGAGGAACACCAACTTCAGCACAGCAACTCGAGGAATGCTCCGTGTACCCCAAATCGTCTCGAGATGAGAGCTGATTCCCTGACTTAGGCTCAAGACATATGCCAAACTTCCAGAAGCACCTCAGGAGGAGGCTTCTCTCAGCAATAGGTATGTGGGAGGGACCCCGAGTGTGCTGGTCAAGTGGAATATATAGCGAGAAGCCCTAACTTGAAAGGAGGCAGGATTTCCTTGCAGTGGCTTGAATACAGGCTCGTCTTTCATCTCACAACATGAAGGGATGTCTGAATCCCCTGTGGAGACCTTAGCGAAAGCCCTAGTTCCCTGCCTCATTTTGACGGAATGCCTCACATCCCGTTGACACCTCGAGAGGCACGCGGAGTTCACTGCTTCAAAAGGTGATGATGCCTGACTCCTCTTGAATACTGATAGGAATCCCAAAATCACTGTGGCTACGGGAAAGAGTCCTTGGGTGCCCTGCCTCACCTCGAGAAGCGTCCCTTTTGCCCTGTCAAGCCTCGAAGAGATTCCTGAGGTGTCCCTCGTTACTAGACAGGGGATTTGACGTCACTGAATAAACACGTGATTTGAAGGGCCATCCCTGACGTAACTCGAGAACATACCCCAGGTCCCCGCCGCAACTCGAGAAAAACCATGAGACTTCCCCCTAGAGGCGAGATGAGGCCCCATTCCCATGCAGTGCGTGCAGAACTATTCCGTGATACCCATCAAACAAGTCAGGAGCTTCGACTTGCTTAATGGATCTCGAGACAGTCCCCAAGACCACTGTCACCAGTCTAGACGGCCCTGACGTCACCACAGCAACGCAAAGCACCGCCGTGTGCCACAAATCAACTCGAGATGAGGCCCGATTCCCCTGCATGGACTCCAGAGCCATCCCCCATTCCCCATTCAACAAGACCAGTGGCTTGACTTCCTTCAGGCAACTCCAGAGATGCCCCGAGAACACTGTCGCAAGTCTAGAGGAACACCAACTTCAGCACAGCAACTCGAGGAATGCTCCGTGTACCCAAATCATCTCGAGATGAGAGCTGATTCCCTGGCTTATTTTCAAGACATATGCCAACCTTCCAGAAGCACCTCAAGAGGAGGCTTCTCTCAGCAATAGGTATGTGGGAGGGACCCCGAGTTTGCTGCCTCAAGTGGAATATACAGCGAGAAGCCCTAACTTGAAAGGAGGCCGGATTTCCTTGCAGTGGCTTGAATATAGGCTCGTCTTTCATCTCACAACATGAAGGGATGTCTCAATCCGCTGTGTTGACCTGAGAGAAAGCCCTAGGTCCCTGCCTCATTTTGACGGAATGCCTCACATCCCGTTGACACCTCGAGACGCATGCGGAGTTCACTGCTTCAAAAGGTGACGATGCCTGACTCCTCTTGAATACTGATAGGAATCCCAAAATCCCTGTGGCTACTGAAATGTGTCTTTGGTGCCCTGCCTCAGCTCGAGAAGCATCCCTTTTGCCCTGCCAAGCCTCGAAGAGATTCCTGAGGTGTCCCTCGTTACTAGACAGGAGTCCTGACGTCACTGAATAAACACGTGTTTTGAAGGGCCATCCCCACCGTAACTTGAGAACATACCCCAGGTCCCCGCCGCAACTCGAGAAAAACCATGAGACTTCCCCCTAGAGGTGAGATGAGGCCCCATTCCCCTGCAGTGCATCCAGAGCTATTCCGTGATCCCCATCAAACAAGTCAGGAGCTTCGACTTGCTTAATGGATCTCGAGAGAGTCCCCAGGAACACTGTCACAAGTCTAGACGGACCCTCAGGTAACCCCAGCAACGCAAAGCAGCGCCATGTGCCCGAAATCAACGCAAGATGAGGCCCTATTCCCCTGCATTGACTCCAGAGCCATCCCCCGTTCCCCATGCAACACGACCAGTGGCTTGACTTCCTTCAGGCAACTCCAGAGATGCCCCGAGAACACTGTCGCAAGTCCAGAGGAACACCAGCTTCAGCACAGCAACTCGAGGAATGCTCCGTGTACCCCAAAGCGTCTCGAGATGAGAGCTGATTCCCTGGCTTAGGCTCAAGACGTATGCCACCCTTCCAGAAGCACCTCCAGAGGAGGCTTCTCTCAGCAGTAGGTATGAGGGAGGGACCCCGAGTTTGCTGCCACAAGAGGAATATACAGCGAGAAGCCCTAACTTGAAAGGAGGCCGGATTTCCTTGCAGTGGCTTGAATA